CACTTGAACTATTACGAGTTTACCTTAGTTTGAAAACGAGACATGACAGGTTACGCTAATCTGATTGTCCCAAACCCCTATGGAGCAAAAGAAGAAGACTTGATATGAAGTAGAACATGTATTCTACAAGCATCCAGAAAGTACGAGGTCCGAGTTCAGAAGAGAATCAGGATCCCGGACTAGGGATCCGGGTCATAAAACGTTACAGATAATGCGTATTTATACAGTTAGGTCGAATAGGAAACAACATTGATGTCCGTGTCATTGATAGCTAGGACGACCATAATATTGACCAGTAGGAATTGACCAATAGAATTAGACTTACAAAAATAATTCTCTTAGGATATTTGATGAATATCCTAACATCAAGATACCAAGGAAGGGAGATATCAGCAAGTGTGAGGACTACAGATGAATCACTCTACTCTCGAAACCAGGAAGAGTGTTCAACAGTGTGTTGTTAAATTGAATCAAAGATTCAACAAATGCCCACTTTCGAGATCAGCAGGCTGGATTCCGTAAGGACCGATTATGTGCCGACTGAGTTGCGACACTACGGATCATTGTGGAACAATCAAGTGAATGCAAGTCACTCACTGTCTATCAAATCCATTGAACACGAGAAAGCATTTAGTAGTGTGGACAGAAGGACATTGTGAAACCTACTCCCACACTAGAGTGTACTAGAAGAGATTGCCAACATCATGCGAAATTCTTATGGTGGACTACGACGGAAGATCGTGCATGGAGGACAGCTGACAGACTCATTCCAAGTGAAAACCGTTGTCAGACAAGGTTGCTTACACTCATCTTCTCAACTTTTTTCTTCTGCTTGTTAGTTAAATTTTGAAAACCTCAACATCTATTTGGATGCAGCTGCACAATTAGGACTTCAGTGATGATCCGGTTCTTCTACCCTAAGTACAGCAGTGAATCCAGAAGATTGACAGTGTAGTAGTAACAGGTTTCATCATTCACAAGTTAAAAATACAACATGCACTAACCGAATCACACTTGACGGAGAAGCTCAGAAAGATGTGGAGACATCTACACACTTGTACAGCACCATTAGTAAACAACGTGGATATGATGTAGATGTTGACGCGCGGACTGGAAAAGCAGTGGCGACATTTGTACAATAAAAGAACATCTGGGACTCAAGACAACTGTCAATCAATACCAAAGTCACAATTTTTCAATACAAACATCAAAATAGTTCCGTTGTATAGAGTGAAAAGTTGGAGAAGTACCGAAGCCACCATTTCAAAGGTACAGGCATTTATGAACAGCTGCATATAACAAGATACATCAGGTGTGTGTGTTGGTCAGACACATCAGTAACAATCTACTATGGGAGAGAACAAATCAGATTGCAACTGAGGAAGAAATTAGAGGAAAGTGTTGGAGATGAATAGGACATACATTGTGTGAATAACTAAACCATATAACAAAGCAGGCCCTAACTTGGAACCCTCAAGTCCGAAGGAAAAGGGGAAGACTGAATTGCGTATTGTATCAGGAGTCGGAGAAAGACATGAAAAGCATGAATAGCAGTTGGGAAGGAGAATTGAGAACAGGATAGGTTGGAGAATACTAGTCGACGGCATATGCACCATGACCGGTAACAGGTGAAAGTAATTATGTTGAATAATCATGTTTTGTTTTAGCGTTCTAACGAGTTTTATTCGTTAATTGTATTTAAATGTGATTTTTTGATAACTTATTTTTAAGCCTTAGTTGATCGATAATTTTGAAATTTGTTCCTTGATGAACTTTACAAAGCAAGAGCAATAAGCAATATGGAATGAAGGGCATTCACTTTACTTAGTGTTCTCTAGGTTTTTACCATACATACCGATTTTTACGAGTAAATTATATATATATGTATTAAAAATGTTGTTATTATAATGAAACTTTCATCGTTCTAAATAATTAAAATATTGCAGTCATTAAAACTTTATGTTAGAGGAGAAGAATCACAGACTTCAACCAATTCAATTTTACATAAATAATATAGTGTTTCAGTCAAATTTTCTGATGAAACTATTGACTAATTCTGATGTCGATACAATAGTAATGTGTTTATTTCAATGATGTAATCCAAATATTGATTACAGCGTATATACAACGGATTCGTCAGTTGACAATATCAACTGACTATTAGAATTTTGTATGAAAATTTAGGCAGAGGTATAGTAATTGCTTATGATTAATTAGCTAAATGTAACTTGATTTATTTTTCTAATCTACACAACCCAAAAGTCAGTCAGTCAGTTGCAACGTCGAACTTCGTACGTATGTACATAAGTTCAGGTTGCCATACCACATTAGCACAAAGACGCTAATGTCAAATCAAATCCCATAGTGATAAAAATAGTAGAGGTATTAATGGTAATGAAGAAGAATAGGGTTTGAAGATATTATTCAAGAAGTATAATTCAGTGAGATAAGGTTAGAAAGACAAAGGTAGATGTGCTGACTAATCCAGAAGATTGGGGTTTGAGAGAGCTCAACGAATGGATGCACTTGCGCCATTGCAAACGATTTTGAGCCATGTCATTATTCAAGGTCTCTAACCATTGGTGACTTTCGTCTCGCGGACCCCAACCAGGTAGTCTACATCTACCAACATGACTCAGTCCACTAGTCAGTCAGTGACTTCATGGATTTCTGCCATGTTTTGGTTTGGCCGACCCCAACATAAACAAAATCAAGAAAAAAAAATTTGAATAGATGCTCAAAAAGAAAATTTATTGACTACAAATGAAAGGGGAACAAATAATAATATATGGACAAAATGCATCAGATTTTTTCGCTTTATCTTGTTCAACATTTTTTTTATCACATACAATTAATTGTTGTGTTAGTAGTCATTTGAATTCTCCTTGTGTGTGTGTGTGTGAGTGTGTTTTGATAGACTGAACTTTGATGCATACATGCATGTGGTACATTCCATATTTTAAAATGATTACAATTTTGACAATGTTCAATCAACTGGCAATATTAGTCTTATTCTACTATTTTTTTTATTGATTATTTATTTCTCAAAAACTACTCATTTTTTTTAGTTTGAATCATTGTGACAATCGAGCGAGAAGAAGAAGAAGGGAAAAAAACATACACGAAAAGAACAACAAGGAGAATAAGTAGGTCGAAAATAAAATCATTTAACACACACACACACACACACAAACAAACATATTCCTCCAATCATTATTAAATCATGAAATATGATATTAAAAAAAAAATGTGAATAATTACTTACATCACAAAAAATAGTAATGATAAGAGAATGAAAGTGGCGAACAAAAAAAATAGGACTTGTCATTTTTTAAATTTTGTGCAACAAAAATCATTCAACTGTATGCTCTGTGTGTGTGTGTGTGTGTGTATTTCATACATATATGCAGTTAGTTCATCTTTGTTTGAATTATAACAGCAGCAGCAAACAGCATCAGTGATGATAATGATGATGACTACTACTACTACTACTACTATAATTGAAATTTTGTCAAAAAATTATACCTTACACACAATACAACATCGGATTGTGTGTTTTTCAAGAAACACATCGTCAAACATCCTCCTCCTACTCCTTCTTATGTGTAGATGGTACTTTGAAAATAAGAAGAAGGCGACGAGAATTTAGAGAGACAGAAGAAGAAGAAGAAGTTGAACATATGAAAGTGTTGCGGTTTTTAAGGGGGGCAAAATGTGACAATAATCTTTAACAACCAACCAACCAAACATGATAAATAATCATATATTAGATAGAAATGATTAGTTAAAAATATATATATATATAATAAGTATATGTAATCAATCATGAAGAGAGGAGAGGCATTTTTAGAGAGATAACAAGAAAGAAACAAAACAAAAAGCAAAATCTATGCGTTTCATATATTTTGAAGAAAAAAAAAAGAATAATGATTATTATTACCATTAAAATATCGATTGATCAAGGATAAGTCAATAGGAATGATGATCAGGAGGATAACATTCATGAGAGGATAAGAATGAGTGATTTACAAATAAGTAGTAATAATAATAATAATAATAATAATAATAATAATAATAAGGGATCAGAACACATTCAAACAATATCATGATATAAATATAGTAATTCTCAAATGTAATTAATTACTTTTTTTGTTTTTCATAGAAAGACACAAGAAAAAACTATTGAAAATAATGAATGATCAGTAGTTGGTTTTATTTGTTTGATTCCTTTTTCATAAAAAACACCCACACACACACAAACAAACAATAGAATTGTTGCAAAATATGTGCAGTGTTTTATTAAATGAGTGCAAAGCACACACAACACACAAGACACACCTCTACACATAAAAGTATGAGTATCCCCTGCTCAATCAAATAAGCATCCTATTCATATGTGTATTGATAGATGTGATTTGACAAACGTGCACACACACACACACATACACAAACACACAAATATACCACCGACATACAATTAATCGGGACGAAAAAGTGTATGTATAAACGAAAAACCAAATTATAAAGTAAAAACAATTGAAAACAAAGAGACAAACCAATCAATGTGAAACAAGTAAAAAAAAACAAAAACAAATTTTTTTCACGTCAGTCTGTTTGTTCAAGGTTTTCATTTGATGTTGATGGAGGCACTGGTGAATTAGTAGTAATACTTGTATCTACTGTACTAATTGATTCTGGTCGATCTGTTGTTGTACTAGTAGTAGTTAAAGTAGTAGTAGTAGTAGTAGTAGTAGTAGTAGAATGTGGTTGATTTTGTCGACGTACACGATGACGATGTCGATGATGCTGATGATGATGACAATGATGATGACGATGTTGACGTCGACATCGGTGACGATGTCGATTTTCCCAATATCGTGGTAAATTAATCAATAATGCATTTGGTGATGTACCTGTTTCCATGGATTCTTTAATTTTACTTAGAAATTCACTGACAGTAATATTATTATTATTATTATTACTACTATTATTATCATTATTATTAGTATTCGATGAAGATTGGCCTAATTCAGGTTGTTGTATTGTAGTAGTTTGTAATGTAGTTAAATTTGGTATATTTGTATACAAACGTTGCCATGCATGAAATAAACTATTTAAAAATACTGGTTTACCATCTTTATTAGCGCATAACATTAACCAATCCCATGTACTACGTAATATTTGATCTGAATCTAATTCTTGTAAAAATGGTAATAAAATTTGACAAAATCCAGTTTCCCAATCTCGACGAGAATTGGAAGATGTTGAATTAGTCGATTGAGATAGATTATGTGAAGTAGATGGAATATTTTTATCATTCTTGTTATTATCAGCATCATTATTAGTATTAGTAAAAATAGTTTGTACTGAATTATTAATTTGTTCTGAACTATTCAAATCAAGACATTCATTACTTGAAATATCATCTGGATTTGAACCAATATCATATTTTTGACTAGATGATGATAATGGACTAAGTAAATCTGAATCGGTCATAGTTGAATGTTGCATTTCTGCTGTTGTACCACGATCTTCATCATGTTCTTCATCAGCCAAAGGAGCACGATCACTTATTGTTAATGTAGGTGACAGGGAACTCAATGTAATAGCATGTCGATTAATATCTTCAACATCTTCATCAGTACAACTAGGTGATGAGATAGCACACATATCAACTGTAACAGATTGATGTAAATTTGTTAATTCTGTAGTAACACTAGTTTCACCTATACATGATGAAGTTGAAGATGAATTGGATGATGTCGACGATGATGATGATGATGATGATGACGATGATGATGGTGATCTTGAATGTGATGATAGTGATCGTGTAATTTCAGTGGATGGTTCATTGAATGAACATTCTTGTTCATTTAATGCTAATAATTCATGATTATCTGACATAGATGGTGATGTTGGTTGCCATGAACGATAATATCGTCTTCTTCGTAATGTACGCAATCTAGAATGATCAGTAATGTTAGCAGTATTCACAACAACATTATCACCGTCATTATTATTATTACTATTATTATTATTATTATTGTCATCAAGATTGAAAGAAATAGCAGTATCAGTAGTAGTTGGAGGTATTATTATAGAAGTTTGTTCATGCATAAATTCATCGCTATGTTCTAAATGAATATCTTGTTCTTCAGTTTCTTGTTGTTGTTGATGGTGTTGTTGGTGTTGGTGTTGTTGATGATGTTGTTCATTGTCTTCTACGTCTACTTCATCATCAACATCTTCTTCTTCCTCAACTTCTTCTTCTAATGCATTTTGAGCCATACATGTTGATGTTTCACGACAATTGATACTACGAGATATTAAAGCAGTTGTTGTTGTTGTTGTTGATTGATTACTTAAATCTGATTTTTTACCATGATGATGATGATGATGATGTTGGTGATGATGATGATGTTGATGTTGATGATGATGAGGATGTGTTTCATGACGATGATGTTGAACACGTAAACGTCTATTATGTGATAAAATGTATGGTTTATTTTTCACTTTAAATGAACTTAATAATCCACATGAATCTAAAATTGAAATAAAACCAACATACACTATATCTAATATAGATAAATTTTAATGAGACAAAATATTAAAAAAGTTGAGAGAAAATAGGCGTTAAATTAAAAAAAAACTTCAACACTGTTTTCCAAGAGTTATCGCTTGATTGGTCAGTCAATAACTATTATACACAACCATTTTATTCATCATTGTGATTAGCGTAAACTTGACGCCTTAAACACCAACCATACTCATCGACTGAATTATGAAAACGTCAACATCTGGAGGGAAGCATGGTATCAACTGGACAGTTAGGACGCAGCTGGACGATCTGGACTTCGCAGATGAACTGGCTATTCTATCGCGCACTCAACAACAAATGCAAGAGAAGACGACCAATGTAGCAGCAGCCTCTGCAGCAGTAGGTTTCAACATACATAAAGGAAAAAGAAAAATTCTCCGATGCAACACAACATGCACCAACCAAATCACTCTTGATGGAGATGCCTTGGAGGACATTAACACCTTTACATATCTGGGCAGCATCATCGACAATCAAGGTGGATCGGATGCAGATGTGAGGGCACGGATTGGCAAAGCAAGGGCTGCATTTCTACAGTTGAAAAATATCTGGAACTCCAAACAACTTTCAATCAAAACCAAAATCAGGATATTCAATACGAATGTCAAGATAGTTCTACTGTATGGAGCAGAAACTTGGAGAACTACGTAAGTCATCCAGAGGATACAAGTGTTTATCAACAGCTGTCTACGCAAAATACTTCGGATTCGTTGGCCAGACACCATCAGCAACAACCTACTGTGGGAGAGAACAAATCAGATTCCAGTGGAGGAGGAAATCAGGAAGAAGCGGTGGAAGTGGATCGAACACACACTACGAAAAGCACTTAACTGCATCACAAGACAAGCTCTCACATGGAACCCTCAAGGCAAAAGGAAAACAGGAAGGGCAAGGAACACTTTACACCGAGAAATAGAGAAAGACATGAGAGGGATGAACAAACATTGGATAGATTTGAAAAGGGAAGCCTATGCCAGAGTTGGTTGGAGAAAACTAGTCAGAGGTCTATGCTCCTCGATTGGGGGTAACAGGCGTAAGTAAGTAAGTAAGTAAGTAATAAAAAGGAAAATAATTTTTATTCAATTTCAGTAAACTAAATAAACATGTTGTTGTTGTTGCTGTCGCGTTATTATTTTGCAATCTTATTCTAAATCGTAGAAAGTCGTCGTACGTAGGTAGGCGAATTGTATTATTCTCTCTCTCTCTCTCACACACGTCATCAATGATAACCTATTTTTTCGCTATGCTTGAATCAGTTGAATTGTTATTTTCACAGTTTTATAGTCTATGGAAACTTTTGGGCGAAAAAAACTGGTAAAAATGGATTTGTTTTTATTTTAAATTTTATTTTATTTCTTTTTTTTTCGCCTGTCAATCACATGCACGCGTATTCGATTTTCTCTGTTTTTTTCTTCGGAAAAAAATATCTATCTATCTATCTATCTATCTGTATAGTTTTAGCGAATAGTAAAATATTATTATCACGTTTCAATATCAAGAATACAGAGAAAAAACCAAACACACAAGTGAATAATCGATAATTGTGGGGAAATAATAATAATTTTCAAGCAAAAAGGAATAAAAATATCAGATTAGTGGTGTGGTTATATAAAGAAAATTTTTCCAACAATGTTATAACAACAACAACAACCCTAACCGGAAGCAATTCAGAAAGGATCATACACACAAACATTTCACTGGATAAATTCATCATTTGAATTTCTGTACGTTGAGAATACAACAATACTGTCTTTTTAAACAAGCTTCTATTCAAAAATATAGTCAACTGGGTAGTTTTAAGAATATTTATTTAAGCGCAAAGAGAGATATAGAATAGACCATGTAGGGGACATGTAAAAATGTAGTAGTAAGTAAGTAGTCTGACTTATCAAAATTTCAACATCAGTGCATCACAAGAAATTATGTGTAGCGCGATAAGAACAATCGGACGGAATCGGATGAAAATAACAAGATACTAAATGGGAAATGTGAAAGGAGGACGGCGAATTCAAGCAGTAGAAAAGAAAAGGAATTCATTCATATTTTCAACCCACATGCAATTTTATAGATGAATACTTGATGTTTTGTTGATGTGGAGTTGAGAATTATTGAGAGAATTATCTACCAGATGAAAGAGCTTATGATACTGTGGTGCGCGCTACTTATAAGTAGTAGTATGCGACGCGAGTGTAAACGTAATGTCTGGCAGCAGAAGATGGGGCGAAGATCAAGAAGAAAGGAAGAGTGGGAACATAATGGAATTTGTATGAAACGCATGAATAGTGAAATGTCAGACAGTGGATTGATGGATTGAAGATTTGCAAATTAACCGTTTACGATATGGTTTTCCTATTTTACTGATTAACTCTGTAATGTGCGATAAATACAATTCGGTTGCCCACACCTGTGTTCTCCTTCACTACAATACTATCCAGCTAGCAAGAACGAAGTAGGTAAGACAAGGGTTCATACAAGGGATTAGGGGCTGAAAGTTGGAAGCCTTAACCGATAAGCTACAGACAAACATATTTGTTACATATTCCATATGCTTCTCTGTGATGACTAAATATTATCTCCTCTTGAACAGCCATGTTCTCGAATTTTCTAACTAACAATATCAATAAAAAACTCTGCCTGTAGACCCGAATAAAGGAGGAGGGTTGGCGACCCTATCCCGTCAAACAAACGCTAACCAGATAAAACCAACCAAAACGAAAATCAAGATTTTCAATACAAATGTCAAGACAGTTCTACTGTATGGAGCGGAAACATGGAGAACTACCAAAGCCATCATCCACAAGATACAAGTATTTATAAACAGTTGTCTACGCAGAATACTTCGGATCCGTTGGCCAGACACCATCATCAGCAAAAACGTACTATGGGAGAGAACAAACCAGATTCCAGTGGAGGAGGAAATACATTAATTTACAAATCCTAATTAAACACATTTGTTTAAATATGTCTAGTCATCTAAACAGGACGATATATATATATATATATATATATATTTGAAACAAGATAGATTATTCAAATACTTACCAAGACATTCAGTTTGTAAGCCTAAAAGATTATAGGTTGCAGTCAATGAAGCAGCTTTTGTATAACTATTTTGTGAACGCTATGATGAAATGAGAAAATAGTGAAAATTTTGAAATTTAGTAAAACGAATTCATTCACATGATGATACCAAAGTAAAAGAAAGAGAGAAAGGGAAAAAAAGAACGGAGCGACATTTTAAACAAATAATAATAGGGATATAATAAAATAATGACAATAATAATAATAATAATAATAATAAAGTTCTTCTATCAACTGAAAAAGAAAAGAGAGAAGCACATCCATTTCTGTTTATAATATCACATACACATATGATATGCATTAGGGTTGATTGCTTTATTCATTCATTCAGGCAGGCAGGCAGTTTTTTTTTATTCAATACTTTTCCTATTAAATTAAATAGTCGTCGGTTTACTTTGAACGTTACACTTTCAGTCTATTAAGACATAAATTTACGCAAACACATACACACACACACACACACAGAGAAACACAGCGCTTTTATTTGACTAACTACTTGTGTCGGACGGAGACTATAAAAAAAAAAGTGTACAGTTCGATATATATATATATATGTTTGAAAGATTTGACATTTTGATATTCACAAATAAACGATGTTGAAGTTAGCGTTGTAAAAAATGAAAAAAAAAGTTATACCTTTTACAGTTAGTTAGCAGTAACAGAATTATTATTATTATTATATTAGCGAAAAAATTAGGAGAAAATTACATTTTATCAATCGATAACAGTTTAAAATCTGTAAAACAAGATACATACAGTAGCTCTTCATATTGATACGAGCTAGATGAAAGATGTAAGTTTTAGAAACTAGACTGGGTTATCTGGTATAGCCTGCAGCTAGACAAGAGTGGAAAACCAGAAAGCAGTGAATTGTTGTTGCCTCAACTATCTACACAAATCTCACTGTACTAGTGATAATCATGTACTCAATTGGCCTGGTGACTGACGAAATCTCAGCACGGATACAGAAGGATCGATTGGCTTATGCCAACTTGCGTCACTTATGGCGCAGGCGAGATATCCGACCGCTAACCAAAGGACGAGTGTACTGCGCAGCAGTTCGCTCCGTCCTACTGTACGGATGCGAGACTTGGCCGTTAAGAGTAGAGGACTTTCGTAGGTTACTAGTATTCGATCATAGATGTTTAAGAAGCATTGCTCGTATATCATGGGACAACCGTATAAGCAATGCTGTCGTTAGGAAACAAGCACTAGGTAGGGATGGCAAATCAATAGATGAAGCATTGAAACTTCATCAGTTGAGGTGGTTGGGACATGTGTTACGCATGCCTAACCACCGACTGCCGCGACGAGCTATGATTTGTGGTGTAGGAATAGGTTGGAAGAAAGTTAGGGGCGGCCAAACCAAAACATGGCGGCAATCCATAAAGTCACTGACAAGTGGACTTAGCCATATCGGTAATTGTCGACTAGCTGGTTGGGGTCCGCGAGATGATAATAATCGATGGTTAGAGACCCTGAATGACATGGCTCAGAATCGTTTGCAATGGCCCAGGTGCATCCACTCTTTGTGTTCTCTCTAATTCTAACCTTCTGAATTCCTCATAATCTCGAATCATATCTTCAGTCCCTACTGATAATACTTCTACTATCGCTATCACTCTTGGGTTTGACTGACAGTCGCGTCTCTGTGCTGACGAGGTATAGCAACCTGAACTGATGTACTTATGTACGAAGCTATCTAACTTTATTATGCACTCAATAGATCACTACTATACATTTTCATGCATTGATTACTTGTTTCATTGAAGTGATTCTGAAAAGTTAATAATTATTACACTAGCATGTATGAAAGATTTGGTACGTAAATCTGAGAATTTAGAAGGACTTTGTAAGTTAAAGTCAAGGTCTCGGGTTCGAGCAGTTACATAAGTTTTTTAAAATAACATATATATTGAACTCCATCATGATCATATAATTTAATTGTTGATTAGATTATTCACTCTATTTGTATCCAATTTATTTTCATTGTGTAATTTACTCAATAGAACTTATTTTTTTCTTGTTTAAGAAGTTTGTGTTTTATTTCAAAATATTCTCTTTTCTTTCTATTTTACATGATTATAAATTTTTATCAATGTCTTTTTTTTCAAATCAAGTCCATAAAAAAAGACAACAAAATTACAACTTACATTTGAATAAAGAATTACAAACGCCCGATAGTTTGGGTAAAATTAAATTAACGAAAGAAATCTACTTATATGATGTCATTGAAAAAGGGATTCGAGATAATTGAATAAAGAAAATGTGTGTGTGTGTTTTCTTCAATGCTCTCATTTATTATATAATTGTATACCATTGTATCAATTACTATTACAATCTCCAATAAACCACATACAAGTAATTGAAAGTGTTGTCAAATATCAAAATCAAAATATTTAGAAAATTTAATACTGTGGTGTGAGCTACTTATAAGTAGTATACGACGTGAGTGTCAACATAATGTCTGGCAGCAGAAGATGGGGGAAGATCAAGAAACGAAGAGTGGGAACACAATGGAATTTGTATGAAACGCATGAATAGTGACAATGGATTGATGTTTTGCAACAGGAACAGTCCAGTTCGATAGGATGAACTGATATTTTGCAAATGAACGATTTACGATATGGTTTTCCGATTTTACTGAGTAACTCTGTAATTTTCGTTAAATACAATTCGGTTGCCTCACCTGTGTTCTCCTTCACTACAATACCACTCGCTATTTTTCATATTGATATGTTGTTCAGTTCGTTTAAATAGACGCAGTGGTATGGTGTAAAGCTTATGAAAGTTTCACTTATTTATATCAGAGAGATGATACCTTCAAATTCAGTAGGAAACAACAACAACAACAACCACACCATGTGATAAGTTACTGTCAAGTTTTGATAATCAACACAGATAGAATACGGTATTCATAATCCGTGTCAAAACATTTTAATCTGTTTTTCAGCATATCGATTTCGTTCACTTCAATATTATCTAATGCTTAATTACTTGATAAATCCGATTTATCTTGAATAGTTGGATATTACACGAATCGATTATGTGATACTTTAATGATGTTAGTGAATATATATATTCAAAAAGAAACGGACTGATATGAAAAATACCGAATCGATAAAGGTTGGGATAAATAGCCACAAGTGTCAACAAATATGTATATATTAACGAATAAAATATTTTGTGTAGGCAGTGAATTACAGTAAGAACGAATATTTGATTTGTTAGTCGGAAATTTTCTGTATAAAATCAAGTGAATGTTGTACGACGTTTGAACAGAAGACTAAGGATTAAAGGCGTATGCGCGCAATCGATTAGCGTTATTAACTGATTCAAAAAAAAACAAAAAATCCTATTTGCATAGTTTTTTTTTTAATGTTAATTAAATTCCATCGACACAGTTTATTATAAATATGATCACTATTCTATAATTAATTGGACATCGCGTGGCATGTTAATCAAAATGTTTTAGGTGACTGATAGGAATTGGTAAAAGAAATAATGAACTAGAGTTTTGTTTCATTTGATAATCATCACAAATGATCAATCAGTGTAAAAATTTCATTTCAACAAGTTTAAATCATGAATTCCCTAAAGATTACAAATAAATTTTGGTAACAAGTATATCAACTAATAAGGAACATAGTTTTCTGTTGAACAAAATAATCGATTGGCTGTTGAAGTATTTTCAATGATCTTCAGCTGTGTATATGTTAGAAAATAATAAGTACACTTAATAGGATGGTGAAGTAGTTGATTGTTTTCAAAATTCAACTTCCGACCACCACTAAGTCGACGGTTCACATCCACTCTATTTACCTCGATTTGGGAAACCTAGTATATATATACGTATATATTCTTACAAATTAAGTGACAGGGTTTTTTTTCAGTGAAACTAATAAGGCGATTATGAATGTTTCATTTCCAAAATGGCTCATAATTATTTTATTCAGCTGATTGGCTACTTTTGATATACGTAATTAGTAGTGATGATTTTTTAATTAGTCAGTCAGTTGCAACGTAGAACTTCGTACGTAAGTACATCAGTTCATGTCGCCATACCACATCAGCACAGAGATGTAATTGTCAATTCAAATCCAGTAGTAGAAGAGGTAGTAAAGGTATTAGGAGTAATCGAAGAGGTTAGGATTAGATGATATTATTCAAGAAGTATGATTCAATGAGAAAAGTTTAGAAAGTCAAAACTAGAGGTGTTGAAGAATCCAGAAGATTAGGATTTGAGAGAGCACAACGAATGGATGCACTTGCGCCATTGCAAACGATTTTGAGCCATGTCATTCAAGGTCTCTAACCATCGATTATTATCATCTCGCGGACCCCAACCAGCTAGTCGACAATTACCGACATGGCTAAGTCCACTCGTCAATGACTTGATGCATTTCTGCCATGTTTTGGTTTGGCCGCACCTAGCTTACTTCCAACCTATTCCTACACTACAAAACAAAGCTCGACGAGGCAGTCGGTGGTTGGGCATACGTCATGGGCATATGTCATGTAGGAATACTATTTATTTTATCACAATACACCTAGTTTACAACATATCCACAGAATCAAATTTGTGATAATAATAAAATGAATAACTTGATAGACGACAATACAAAACAAAGCAACTTAAAATGATTTTAAAAAAAATAAACATTGAGATAAAATAAATCAAAGAAATATTACCATAAATAATGTTAGCTTTTCAACTAAATCTCCATTTCGATGAACTTCACATCGTGAAGTTCGTCCAGTGGCAATATGTGCAACTACAAGTACAGCCTGAAATATAAAATAATAATAATTAGTAGGCAGATCGATTAGATTATAAAAAACAGTTCAAAATAATAATATTTAAGTCTGATATAAGAATTAACCATAAACTAAAATCAATAATCTAACTAACTATACAGGGATAGAACCAATCAGTAAGGGACTTGTAGTTAGTTTAACGATAAAAATGTAAAGTGTACACATGCAAATGTCAAGATAGTTCTACTGTATGGAGCGGAAACTTGAAGAACTACCAAAGCCATCATCCAGAAGATATAGGTATTTATGAACAGTTGTCTTCGCAAAATACTTCGTAGTCGTTGGCCAGACAACATCAGCAACAACTTACTGTGGGAGAAAACAAACCAGATTCTAGTGGAGGAGGAAGAAGCGGTGGAAGTGGATAGGACACACACTGAGAAAAGCACCTAACTGCGTCACAAGACAATCCCTCATATGGAACCTTCAAGGCAAAAGAAAAAGTGGAAGGCCAAGGAACACATTACGCCGAGAAATAGAGAAAGACATGAGAGGAATGAACAAACATTGGACAGAATCGGAGAGGGAAGCCCAGGACAGAGTTGGTTGGAGAAAACTGGTGGGCGGCCTATGCTCCTCGATTGGGGGTAACAGGCGTAGGTAAGTAAGTACATAGTGTATTCTAAACTTTTAACATTTATTTATTTATCTTGAAGCTACCATTACACTATGGTATGTGAAATTGACTATAGAAATATAATTTATAAGCCAAAATTAAAGATATTTGTGATAAAATAGCGTAGACTAAAAAATCTTGATGTAGTAGTGAGTAAACAGTATCCCGGAATATTTAAAATATTTCTAGATTTAGTATGAATGTAGCGATTATGACTCTACTCATCATGAATACACTAAGAATCAAACAATTTAGGATACATTTTGGTTAGGACCATAATCTGACTCGTCACACAAGTAGACAAAATAAGAATTTTTTCACATGAATAATAATTTCAAAATATCGTCCAAGTAAGACAGAACTACAGTGAATCCTAGAACATACTCAGAAATTATTAAGCCTATATATATAAGACCCAGTTCTATTAATCACAACAAAGACATGTATATATCTAGGGATTAGATTGAAAAGAATTATCGTGAAATAATAAGTGCTGTTTAGGAATCATAAAGTTGCATATAAAATATGCCTGAACCCACTACAGAATGTTAAAATTTATTTCTTGTCTGGTCGCCTTTATGAACATCTATCAGTTTCTTTGCTTTTGTGGTGCAACGTATATAGAGGCCGTAGCCAGTCCAGTGACTGCTTCCAACCGAAAACATGTCCTAGTGTATTTCTATAAAAGTGAGAGGAAAGCAGTTAGAACTGCTACTCTCTTGAACATTTAATCGATTCCAATCACTCCATTGATCCATAGGTTGATTTTAAGGTTGTTTATAGAATCCATTTATATCTACCAAAATTTCTTCATAACCAACTCCTTAAAAAACAGCAGCTCTTATCATTCATGAAATGAAACCAGAACTGTGTGTACAAAAAGGTACACCTTACCCTTATCTTTACTGTGTGGCCTTAAACTATTCTGATTATTACTACTGTTTCATTTCTAATTTGGAAATATTTTCCATATCTTCATAATTTTATCCATGACTATTTCCTGATACCAATTTATAACTGGTGGTTCGCTTATTGACTTAGAATATGCCGATGACATTGTCCTACTTGGTGAAGACGCTGACAAAATGCAGAGTCTTCTGACTACCCTAAGCAACAATGCAAGCATGTTCAGAATGCGGTTAAAACCCTCGAAAAGCGAAATGTTGCTTCAAGATTGGATTTCATCGGCACCTGAAGTAATGATAGGGAGTGTCGGATTACAGTCTTACTTATACATCAATAAAAAATTATTTAAGAAAACTATGCTACCAATAAACTCAATCAAACATTATAAATATTTCATTTACTAATTTATTTACCCATATGCATAGAAAATGTATTCAATACAATTGGGAGGTTTAAATTTGGAGTAACATGTTTAAACTTGTCTATGTTGATTGATTATTCGATAAGCTTTGTTTCCTTACACTATACATAAACATGTTCTAGCTTGTATATAGGTTTTTTCTATTTTTTTTTTAGCAGAAACAAAAACAACAACTCGACACAGAGTCATGAAAGCGTTAAGAATTCATTCTTATTTATATTATTGTTAATATTAGACAGTATAATGCTTGATTTATATTTAAAACCATTAAAAATAAAACTAGCATGACAGTGCTTATTCACAAAATCAAGTTTTAGTCGAATATCGTCCGCGTTTGAACGAAGATTGAATGCACTAGTCAATTATACACAGCATAGAGAACCTAGCATATTGATGTATCGGTTCAGGTAATCATGCGACACATTAGCACAGCAAGATGCCTGACTGACATAGTCAGTCAGCACACGAGACCAAATTGGTCAAAATCAAATCCTTCCTACACCCCCTAGTACCTCTCTTCTCTCCACAACTAACTCTACTCACAGTCCCTTTTCTCACTGCACCGTTAATGCAGACGATGCGAGTTCACGAAACGTCGTTCCTGGTCTCTTGAAACCCCGTTCTAGACTACATGTTGGAGCTTTTAATGTACGGACATTGTGTCAAATAGGGCAACAGGCTTCCTTAGCTAGGACTTTAGAATCTCGTGCCATCGATGTATGCTGTGTCTCGGAAACGCGCATACAGGATCCTAGTAAAATTATTAATTTGATTTCACCTTGTCAAAATAAAGAAGCAGCTCGATTTACTCTTCGTGTATCTGGTAGCCCTGATGCTGCTTCCAGGGGTCTTGCTGGGGTAGGCATAGCATTGAGTCGTAGAGCTGAACAATCTCTCCTTGACTGGATCCAAGTAGATAGTCGCTTGTGCGCTGTCCGACTAAACGGGACAGTAAGGACTCGGAAGGATAGGGACACTCGCCGTTACCTCTTCATCATATCTGCCTATGCCCCCATTGACTACAGTTCAGACGAGGTTAAAGATGACATAAGTAGTAATGGTATTAGTAGGTGTAGGAAAGTTTAGGTATATACATATGTAAAAGCACTTTTTCTGTACACAGTGGTCATGTATGTATACCATCAGAAAGGTAATTTGAAGTCAGTCAGTTGAAAACAACTTAAGGATGGGAGAAAAACAAATCACAAAGCTTTAACTCGTGGATTGCGAAATTGATGCAAACTGAAAATTGGATTACATGCTGGTGGATGATAACAAGAGATAACTGTGTATAATAGAAAGTCACTTAAAGAAAAACTGATGACTAGAATGTAAAATTAAGATAAATAAAATGGTCGAAGTTTTCTTTATGTGATTTATTTTCTGTACTTACACGTATTGCATGATTATTGGGATGTTTGGACATAAAATACTTCATGTTTCGATGACTGACTCCCTCACTTTAGATTGGCTATAGCCTTGCTAACTTCATTAAAAGTTGGAGGGTTTACATCAATTTATCATTCAAGCTGCTCGGGGAGGATGAGTAAGAGAGGTGTGACTGAAGGCCAGTTGGACTGTTCATTAAAGTGGTCAGATCACTAGTCCAATTCACCACTGCATTGAGATAGTCCCCCTAAGAGCTGGATTAATCATACCAGTTTTCTTGATAGGCCTTAATAGTTGCCTAATATTACCTATCACTGTTTCCTTTGCTATCTGTTTTGCCTTCACTGCCCATCACTGATCATGATCATTGTGTAGGCTTTTTATCAGTCAGTGTTGAAACTACCTCAGCTTCTCATCGTGTTCAGAACTAGACGGGATGAGATTCTGAGCATCCACCAGTTTAGTGGATATCACTGAAACCTTTTGATTCGAGTTAGTAGTAGATATCACAGTTATTTCCATAGCATTTTAGATATCATTCTAAACTGCCTTAAGGCAGATATCGCAAACTGTGTTTCTAGTTGTTCCCGAAATATATTTTTGGCCTTTTATCATTGAAAATAAATCTGAGAGGTTTCCTTACTGCCTTTTTTTAAGTCCAGAAAGACTCAGACAAATACGTTCTCGTATTAAAGAAAGATGTGCTCCGCAGTGAGCGGCGGTTTTCCGTCAACCGTCTAACGATGTCTGAAAAGAATACGTTTGTCGTTGAGTCGATTGTGGGGGGTCGTTATGCCAGATTATGTTTTTTCTTATAATTAAAGTTGGTGCCTGTTAAAAAAGACGGTTATCTAAACACAGTTACAGCAGACAGTTGCAATTAACTGTTCCGTGGGTCGGGACACTGTGCGATCCACCTAGATACCCCTCAGTTTGGTTTAGTCTACCCACTTAAATATTAAGATTACTAGCTACTATTACAACACAAAACGATTAGCTTTATAAAGGAGGTTAGAAAAATTTCTATAAAATTCATCTTTCACTTCAACTAAGCTGCAATCAGTCAGAGAGCAGGAATAAACAGCGAAGAAGAGAAAGCATGTATCCTTATCTTTTCAAGTTCTTACTGTTCAGTTAAGTCAAACAGTGTACAAGTGACTGTCTATTAGAACAGAGTCTGGGATAAACGGTCTTACTTTTGGAGGTAATACCACACCTACACTAGAGGCTAAAGGAACTGGTAGTGAGATGTCCAGATACACGGTGAGGTGTGATAACTGTAATTGGATACTGTATGTGCATGTCGAAAACGCAGCATACACCAATGGCGTGAGTTTAAAGTTATAGCTAAAGAAGCTTGTTGTCTTATTTGCCACAAGGTGCGGGAATAAAAGGCTCCGACAAGTAGTTTAGAGCTCGGCTTCATAAGACTAAAAGATAAGAGAGATGTAAGGGGGTTTAGGAGGGATTTTATTATGGCCAACTTCATCTCGAATGCTGTTACGACTACGAGGGCGGATGTCGTTTCACGGCTGCCCACACCGTGGAAGGATGTTTCTTGAGGAACCTAACAAGGAAATCTGATTAGTATTGGTCTTAGCAACCTAGTGGCGTGACCGCAGAGCCCGAGGGAAAACTGATGGAGGCCGGTCACGTACAGCTTTTTTATAGAAAGTTGGTGTGTTAGCTCCGCTCTTTAAAAAGCCTTACTGTCAGAGACGAAAATCCGTGAGGTATGGTGAGGTGTGACATTTTTGGGGTCAACCTTTTCTAAACTCTTCCTTCCTTGCGGGAAGGCAGCATTGCTACAGGTGCTACTTGTCCTAGTGAAACAGCTTAATTCTGTCACAGTCATCTACAGTAAGCAGTACGACTTCGCCCTCGGATCTTAAGTCGCTGCTTATAGTCATACTGTTCTCCAACCAGCCTGACTGGCACGGTACGACCTAGAGAAACATAGCTCTGTTGAGTTGGACAAGCCCAACCGCCATGTCAAGATAGTGGTAGCTAAATAATATTTATATTTACAATGGTGATCAGCTGTTAGGGGTATTTCTTAAAATTCTAGTAAAACCAGTGACTTGCGGGGTCAACCACGACAGGGAGTGAAACATTTGTTTACACAAGAGACTAGACGATAGCCATACTATAATCCTAAACTAACTACTTGAAAGTGTAAACTACAACTAACGGCTCCCTATAAGATCGGAGGAGGTTGGGGGTTAGATACAATAGTGTAGTCACTTACAAACAATTACATACAAGTCTCCGACCAGTATTGAACAAGTTATTTGATATAACCTAGTTTTCAAGTTCGTGATAAGAAATAACAGAATGAATAACATATCTTCAAAAACTAAAATCTAGCATATCAAGAAATGTTATTTATCGCTTGGTGTACTAACCTGTTCTTTGACGGGTTGAGGATAGTTCGACTCCAATACAGCAATTATAAATTGAGTGATATTCCACCAATGCTTACTTACCACAAAGTCTATGAACTTGACGAAAGATTAGAAAAAAAAACATAAATGTTATATATAAGGAGTATTTTGGTTTGAAGATTGTTGACGATTGATAATTTCCAACCACTTACACTATAGAAATTCAAAATGTAGAATAGCTCGGAAAAGTGATTTACACTTTGGATGGTGTTATATCAAACAGTCAGTTAACAACAACATAGAACTTCGTACGTACGTACGTACATCACTTCAAGTTGCCATACCATATTAGCAATTGTCAATTGAAATCCCATAGTAGTAGAGGTAGTAGAAGTATTAGCAGTAATCAAAGAGATTAGGGATCGAAGATAATAGTTCGAAAAGTAGAATCTAGTGAAATAAACTTAAAAAGAAAAAGATAAAGATGATAAAGAATTCAAAAGGTTAGGGTTCGAGAGAATACAAAGAATGAATGCATCTGCGCCATTGCAAACGGTTTTGAGCAATGTCTTTCAGGGTCTCTAACCATCGATTATTATCATCTCGCGGGCCCCAATCAGGTAGTCGACACCTGCCAACATGACTCAGTCCACTTGTCAATGACTTCATGGATTTCTGTCATGTTTTGGTTTGACCGCCCCTAGCTTTCTTCCAACCTATCCCTACATTGCAAACCATAGCTCGATGAGGTAGTCGATGGTTGGGCATGATGTGCAACACATGTCCCAACCGTTTTATCAAACAAATCTGGCTATATGGTATAGGTGTTTAAAAAAATTCTTTACATGATGGATATTGTGAAGGGTTTGACTGTAAACTATAGTGAGAAGAGATCAGAAAATGGATAGGAATGAAAAAATGAAACAGAAGAGTAGTGATATCTTGTATGAATTATTCTTGTGTTTCTTTCTGTGTATGGGGGTCAGTGATCCTGCATAACATTTCATAACGAAAATCTTTATTTACATGAAGAATAAAAAGTCAAGAAGTATTCTAATTTAGCAATAACAAAGGAAAATATGATTTTATTTCGTGTGAACGGTAAGAGTGGTCGAATCAATTTGTTTTCAATCAATAGCTCCCAAGTTCTTACTCTATTTCAATGAATACAGACAGTTTCACCGCCTTGTTTTATTAGTGTAACAACATCAACTTTCATATAGACAAAAAAACAATATGGATTCCAGCCAATTGTACAGGATTATATTTAGGTCAATGATCAAATCAAGTCTTGTTAACTCAAATGATTAAATATGTAAACTTGAGTTCGCTCATATTTAATTTGATTACGCCTTTCGATTAACTTATGTAACCAAGCTATTTGTATAGCAACAACCCATATGTACCATTGGTATTTTTTATTATCTGGTTTGTATGAGCTAGTACGACTGAGCATTGATTACGCCTACGCGCTTACTCATCCTTTTCGCTTTAATGTGTAAAAACGCAAACCTCCAAAACTGTGCCCCAATATATCGTAACAGTACCCACTAGTGACTAGCTTCGTGAGGAAATTCTCGGAGTTCTAGTTGAGAAGACGTGACCAGTGGAGTTCAACCCTGTCGGGTGTAGGCAGTAACTACCAAACACAAATGGGTGAGGTCGCGCAAAATCCCTAGATCAATCAGAGTTAGACATTAACACCGTTAGATGCCGGCCCAGTGGTTCGATGGTAAGGCGTTCGCCCACAATGCCAAAGGTCCTGGGTTCGAATCCTGCGAGGGGCAGGAGTCGTGGATGCGCACTGCTGAGGAGTCCCATACTAGGACGAAACGGCCGTCCAGTGCTTCCAGGTTTCTAATGGTGGTCTAACAATGATGATTGATTAATGATTTCAAATGGGTTAATGTTAAACTCTTAATATCCCTATGGCCTCATATGATTGTCTCGGTTGCTTTTGACCTTGTCAACCATTCGTCGCTTTTATTCATGTGTGTGCATACCTATATCGCTTGTCATATGTCTGTCTTATTTTTGTCTGACTATATATTCTTAGTCATGTTCTATCTCTTTGAGTTGGCTCAACAGCTTTCTCCAGTTCGCTTCGCCCATTCGTTCGCATTGTAACCCATGGAGTTGGCTCACTAGCCTTCTCCAGTTCACGTTGCTTCATTCGTTTTATTCACTGCTTCTCCGCTTCACTTTGTAGTGTGTCCCGAATAAACAACGTATTCATCACTACGAATTCATCTTCTGATTTATAAACCGTCAGATGCTATTTGGCAACGATTGTCTGAACGAGTTAACTACCAAGCTTAAGAACACGCAGTAAATCGACATACACTACAAATATATAAAATTCGATTAAGAAAAAATAAAACATTTCAAAATAAGAGAAGAATATGTGTATGATTTACAATAAAACTTACTTGTTCATCACGTAGTAGATTACGTAAAAAGCTTAATGTTTGATAAACAATTAATATATGAATTTGTGCAGTATTTTTAGAAAATTTAAATTTACACTGTGTATTATTATTATTATTATCATTATTGGATAAAAATAATTGATGTTGATGTTGTTGATGATGATGATTAGAATGATATGAACGATAATGTGAAGTTGTCACAGTGGAACGATTGAATAAATTTGTTTGATATTTTTGTTGTGTTGGTTGGTTGTTGTTGGTTTTTTCCATTATTGGATTTAATTCATTCAGATATTTAATTTCAGTATCTTCATCATGTGATACCATAATTCCTGGTAATACAGGAGGAATTCTGAAAATAATAGTAATAGAAATATAAACTATAAAAAGAAAATTAGCTATGATTTTTTGAAAGTTAGTTTATTGACGAGTGTTTGTTTTTTGACAGATTAGCAACATCAACTGAAGAACTACTGTGGTGTGAGCTACTTATAAGTAGTATATGACGTGAGTGTAAACGTAATGTCTGGCAGCAGAAGATGGGGGAAGATCAAGAAAGGAAGAGTGGGAACACAATGGAATTTGTGTGAAACGCATGAATAGTAGTGACAATGGATTGATGTTTTGCAACAGGAACAGTCCAGTTCGATATGATGAACTGATATTTTGCAAATGAACGATTTACGATATGGTTTTCCTATTTTACTGAGTAACTCTGTAATTTTCGCTAAATACAATTCGGTTGCCCCACCTGTGTTCTCCTTCACTACACTACTACTGGAAACCAGAAAGTTTTGGACAGTTGTTCTGTTCTGATTTCAAACTAAGCAAGCACAGTCTTCGTTAGAAATTGAAGCTTGAGTAAAGTTCTAAACAGTGAGCATGTTACCGCTAGATTATAATAACGTGAAAATTACAAACTAGAATAATGGAAGCATTTAGTCAGACAAAGGTTTCCCTTTCTCCAATGCTACTTGTGCTGATATCGATGATTTACGGATGAAGACTACTTATTTCCTTTTTTTATAAGCTCTCACAGTTACAGATTATTAGTTCATCTGTTACATAAAGTTATAGCTTGTACTTTATTACTACGTTATCTTGACAAAAATACGTCAATACATCTATGAATATATTCTGAACTTTGGATTTACCTTGACTTCATCATAAATGTGAAGTTATCTTGTTGAGCTTTAATAAACACAAAATTCTGGATTACTCATAAATGACCTTTGCATGGTTAATAGATACTATATATTCATTTTGAAAACTATTTAACTCGTTTTTAATTTTGTTTTATTGGTTCAGCCTACTGTAATATCGTGTAATTTGTGGTATATATAAACACTATTATCTTAATTATTATAATTTCAATGTCCATGCATCCACCAGAGTAACAAATAATTCGGTAAATATTTCTCTTAACTTAATCCAAACACTTAAATCAACATCACCACTTTTGATGTTATTTCAAAGATCAGGCACCCTGTGTATATGGAGTAAAAGACTCAAGAATAAGGTTTGCTGAAATTAAAGATCTTCCTTTAGTACGAAAAATCCGATCAAAGATAACTACACACGTACATATAGTGGGTGCGTAACAGATTGAAATTGCCGTAGAAGTTAGGAATCAAATAAACTGAGTGCCAGAATACACCCCGTACAATGAAACTAAGCCGACAGCAATTCAATGCATGCTAGTTTCAATCGGGATTAGACTACGATAATTACTAAGCACACGCGACCTTGGAGATATGTAACCATCACAAAACAACAAGAGGAATCATCTAAGCTAGATGAAGACCTATAAATGTACATGTGGCTTGGATTGGTTACCGTAAAGCAGATCCTAAGTGTATAGGAACAGTTGTTAAGTCGATATTGCGAACAAAATGTTAAAGATATACTCAGATAGCCATCATAAAATAAGTTACAGACTACCACCACAACAAGCACACATGAGGTGATAGTACTTCAACAACAACTAGTTGATTTATCTAATACGCTTGAGGTTTAACAAACAACCATATCATCCAGTATCCACTTGAGATCCACTACATTATATATATTCTAGATAGAGATCATTCCTCAAGTCGCATTTGAAGTAAGCCGAATCAACGCCAAAAACCTGTTGATCGAGTATAAAAGTAGTTGCCCCCTATATTACTGTCTGACTAGTAACAAGAAATTGCGTTGATCAAGGAATAGGATTGATTAATTGTGATGCATTTCTGATATTTTCGAATAGATTTTGGAAGAAAGCTAGGGGCGGCCAAACCAAAACATGGCAGAAATCCATGAAGTCACTGACAAGTGGACAGAGTCATGTTGGTAGATGAACACTACCTGGTAGGTGTCCGCGAAACGAAAGTCACCAATGGTTAGAGACTTTGAAAGACATGGCTCAGAATCGTTTGCGATGGCGCAAGTGCATCCATTCGTTGAGCTCTCTCAAATCCTAATCTTCTGGATTCGTCAGCACCTCTACCTTTGTCTTTCTAAACTTTTCTCACTGATTTATACTTCTTGAATAATATTTTCTTCAAACCCTAGTCTTCTTCATTACCATTAATACCTCTACTATCTTTATCACTATGGGATTTGATTTGACGTCTGCGTCTTTGTGCTAATGTAGTGGTCTGGCAACATGAACTTATGTACATACGTACGAAGTTCTACGTTGCAACTAACTGACTGTACTTTTATCAATTTTTCAAGCAGAAAAAAAGAAGCCTAAAAACCAAGTCAATAATTGTTCAAAGCGAAAGAGATGATGCACAAGTTGTATAATAATATGATCTATTGACATTCAAGGAGAAATCTGATTCGAAAAGAAACATATAGATATATATACCTTATACTTAAAAAAAAAGTAAGTTGTCCTTCCTCATAAGGCTTTTGACATCTGACAATTCATCATTTTTTTAATCGTTTCTGGCGTTGTATAGAAAAATCTTATTGGAGAGTTTTAAAGAGTTGTGAAATTCTTATCAGTTTGTTGAAGCAAGCGAATTTTATCTTAATATATAGGATAGTCAGTCAGTCAGCTGCAACATAGAACTTCGTACGTAAGTACATCAGTTCATGTCGCCATACCACATCAGCACAGAGATGTAATTGTCAATTCAAATCCAGTAGTAGAAGAGGTAGTAAAGGTATTAGGAGTAATCGAAGAGGTTAGGATTAGATGATATTATTCAAGAAGTATGATTCAATGAGAAAAGTTTAGAAAGTCAAAACTAGAGGTGTTGAAGAATCCAGAAGATTAGGATTTGAGAGAGCACAACGAATGGATGCACTTGCGCCATTGCAAACGATTTTGAGCCATGTCATTCAAGGTCTCTAACCATCGATTATTATCATCTCGCGGACCCCAACCAGCTAGTCGACAATTACCGACATGGCTAAGTCCACTCGTCAATGACTTGATGCATTTCTGCCATGTTTTGGTTTGGCCGCCCCTACCTTTCTTCCAACCTATTCCTACACTACAAAACAAAGCTCGACGAGGCAGTCGGTGGTTGGGCATACGCAACACATGTCTCAACCACCTCAACTGATGAAGTTTCACCACTTCATCTATTGATCTGCCAACTATATGGAATAACTACTATAAAGTTAAACTTTTAGTGGATTAAGAATGTAAACATGAAACATATATGTATAATATGGATAAAATGTGTTCGGTAATTAAAAAGAACTGATGATAGACAATGTTTTATCATTAAATTACTATTTTAAACCATATAAAAAATATTTCCTTTTTTGGTCAAGTCTTATTCGAAAGGAAAGTGTACAGCTTTTTATTTTTATATCATAAATTTCATTTTGTTTGGTGTTTTGATGGAATCCTACAATTATCTAATTTTATGCACTACGTATATATATATATATATATAATAATCACAATTTTCACGCCAAATGTTGGACAGTTGTTACACACACACACACACACACACAAAATGACTAGATCCTGTTTTGATTTAGTGTGATATCTATTAATAATATTACATTCCTTTGTAATTCAATATTTTTCAATCAAGTAAAATAAATATTCATTAATTAATCATTAAAATGGGGCAGTATAAATAAAATGTGTACTTCACCTGCTGTATATATCAAATCAAATATAAAGAAATTAAAAATTAACAAGTGAGTGAGCCAAACTAAGTAATAAAATAATTGAAGAAAAATTAAAGGCAATTCAAAGAAGGAGATTTCCATTTTGAAAATTTCTTTTACTTAAACTGTACAATAATCGAGTGTATAGTTGAGTTTATTTGGCTAACATAGTTTTCTATAGCAATGATAATAGTGTTATGTTCGTCACTAGGTACGCTTGAAGCTATTACGAGTTCACCTTAGTCGATAAACGCGAACGAGACAATTACCAGCATCCAGGTAGGCTACCTTGAATCCCAAGCTATAAGACAGATATCTTGGTAAGCGTACAAAGTATATGCTACAACACTCAGCAATCACAATACAATACAATCAAACACACAACTCTCGTTTATTTATACATCATAGAAACGTCCTTGGGACAGTTACGAAAATAGCACACTAAAATATAAACAGCAACCAATCACAGCCATGGATTTTCCCGGTGGGAAATGAAATCTCAAGGTCAACTGATCAGCCCATGCTGGCAAACGTGAAATCCAAAATAAGACATTTATCAAGAGAGTTTTAGGGATCTAACATCCCCAACAAATAATAATAGTTATAGTAATAAAATCAACTTGTAGTGATATCATGTCATGAATGGTTTATAAAACCAAATACTGAAAGGAAATATAGCACCTCACATACACTTGAGTTTGTTCACAATCAATTTAATTAAGCCCTTTTATTAATTTATGTTTTTTTGTAACAAATAATGAATGTAATCTAAACTTTTGCATACAAAAAACATCATGTTGAGTTGTTCATTGCTCCATGATTTAAAACTCCCTCACAATTGTTCCACAAGCTATGGAGTTCTTTGTGTACGTTTAGTTGTTTGTTTGTTTGTTCTGCGATTATTAATTCTAATCCTTTTCAATTATTTTCGCAACCATTCATTAGCCATCAATCAATACAACTTTCATTTACTCCCGTTTAAGCATCTTTCACTAACCGATTATTACATAACCACCACCTTTCAATATTTGATTTTTATAAACAATTCATGACATTACTATTACGACTAATATTATCATTATCAGTCAGTCAGTTGCAACGGAGAATTACGTACGTATGAACATCAGTTCATGTTGTCATACCACATTAACACACAGACGCAAATGTCAAATCAAATCCCATAGTGATAAAGATAGTAGAGGTATTAATGGTAATGAAGAAGACTAGGGTTTGAAGATATTATTCAAGAAGTATAATTCAGTGAGATAAGATTAGAAAGACAAAGGTAGAGGAGCTGACGAATTCAGAAGATTAGGATTTGAGAGAGCTCAACGAATGGATGCACTTGCACCATTGCAAACGATTCTGAGCCATGTCATTCAAGGTCTCTAGCCATTGGTGACTATCGTCTCGCGGACCCCAACGAGGTAGTCTACATCTACCAACATGACTCAGTCCACTAGTCAGTGACTTCATGTATTTGTGCCATGTTTTGGTTTGGTCGCCCGTAGCTTTCTTCCAATCAACACCTACACCACAAAACATAGCTCGTCGAGGCAGTCGGTGGTTAGCCATACGTAACAAGTGTCCCAACCACCTCAACTGATGAACTTTCACCACTTCATCTACTGGTCTGCCATCCTTACCTATTACTCGTTTCCTTACGACAGCATTGATTACTCGGTTGTTCCACGATATACGAGCAATGCTTCTTAAACATCTATGATGGAATATCAGTAACCGACGAATATCTTCTACTCTCACTGGCCATGTTTCACAGCCATAAAGTAAGACGAAGCGAACTACTGCGCAGTACACCTATCCTTTGGTTAGCGAACGGATATCACGCCTACGCCATAAGTGACGCAACTTGGCAAAAGCCAATCGAGCCTTCTGTATCCGTGCTGAGATCTCGTCAGTCACCAGTCTATCAGCGCTGATGAGAGACCCCAGATAAGTGAGGCGATCAACAAGCTCGACTACTTCACTCCATATCACTAGTTCAGGTGCCGATATTTATCATTATCATTAGTACTCCACATCATTCTATTTCACTATAGACAACTACTAAGTCAGTAAATAATCTCAACTATACAAAACAATCATTGTAACAGTTTAAAAGTAAAAGAAATCTTCGAAATCGGAAATTTTCTTCGTTGAACCGCCTGTATTTATTTTTATTTTTTTCTTTAATGACGCACTAGGTGTGACAACTGCTCGAGTTGGCTGGCAACGCCGCTCGTGACAAGAAGAAGACCCGTATCATCCCACGTCACCTTCAATTGGCCATCCGAAACGACGAAGAGCTGAACAAGCTCCTCGGTGGCGTTACCATCGCTCAGAGCTTTCTCCGTGCCCACTGGGCTGTCGAACTCCGTCATCAGCCGCCCGGTGACCGTCTCCCCGCCAGCACTGTCCAAGCTGTCATAGACGGCCCTCGCCCTACCTCTCAGCATAGTCCACAGCACCACCAACTTCGCCTTCAGTTCCTTCACACCCACCAGCTCCACCACGGCCTCAAACTCCTTCGGCCAAGGTATCTTCATCCTCTGTGTAGGCAGAGACACCAAATGTAGTGAAGGAGAACACAGGTGAGGGCAACCGAATTGTATTTATCGCAAATTACAGAGTTACTCAGTAAAATAGGAAAACCATATCGTAAATCGTTAATTTGCAAATCATCAATCCATTGTCTGACATTTCACTTATTCATGCGTTTCATACAAATTCCATTGTGTTCCCACTCTTCCTTTCTTCTTGATCTTCGCCCCATCTTCTGCTGCCAGACATTACGTTTACACTCGCGTCGCATACTACTACTTATAAGTAGCGCGCACCACCACAAAAATTATCAAAAAAAAAGAATCAACTGAATAAAAAAAGACAACTACTACTATTACTGCTCACCTATTTCTTGAATTCATATCAACATGAGTTGTTTTCATATTATTTTCCCATTCATTATTTTTTATAGGAAAATTAAAATTATTCAATTCATTATTCGGTGGTATTGAAGCAGCTAATTGTAATAATTCTAACCATATACCCTTATTGACTAATTCATGAAATAGATTCATGCAAACGCTTGAATCAGCTGTATGCAATAAATTACTTAAGCCCCATATACCATTCAAATGTAATATTGGTATAATTTCATAAAGATGTTGTTGTTGTTGATGATGCGGATTTGAATTTGTGATTGATGATTTTGTTATTAATGAACGAGATGAATGATCAATATTATTATTATTATTATTACTGTTATTATTATTACTGTTATTATTCATACTACATCCAGTATCATATGTATTTATTGATTGATGATGATTTGATTCTACTTTAGATGATGACGGTAATGATGATGACGATGATGATTGTATATTATTTCCAATCGTTAATAAACGAATGAAAACATTGATAAAATCATCAATTAAAGTCTGCAATAGAAGAAAATAAAGAAGAGGAGATATTTGTTGTATATTAAATTTTGGGATAGAAATATATATTTAATCGGTTGTTTATAATAAATATCACAACAACACAGGAAAAAAACAAGAAAAAACTAACCTGTGTGTGTGTGTGTGTGTGATAAAACAATGTCTAATTTGACATGTGTATATTTATTGTTTCTTTTTTTAGAAATAACAGTAGGCAATTTTATAAACTCTATCAAATAATAATAATAATAATAATAATAATAATAATAATATCATAGTAAATGATTTATTTCCAGTCTATAAATAATATGAAAGTAGTGTGGTGTCAGATACTTATAAATAGTAGTATATGACGTGAGTGTCAACGTAATGTCTGGTGGCAGCAGAAGATGGGGGAAGATCAAGAAGAAAGGAAGAGTGGGAACACAATGAAATTTGTATGAAACGCATGAATAGTGAGTGAAATGTCAGACAATGGATTGATGTTTTGCAACAGGAACAGTCCAGTTCGATATGATGAAATGATATTTTGCAAATGAACGATTTATGATATGGTTTTCCTAATTTACTGAGTAACTCTGTAATTTTCGTTAAATGCAATCCAGTTGCCCCACCTGGGTTCTCGTTCACTACAGTAGTATATTCAATAACCAACCAACCACCTCACCATAATGTTATCAAAATTATTTGCATGTAAAGACAAACATTATTAGAATTGTTTATTACTTTGAATAAATGTTTTATATATATATATATATATATATTTATTATTCAGTTCAGATTGATTTTACTCTTTAATCTGAATATTTTTTGTAATTAGTTCATATAGATAGTTATGGCAATAGAATGTAGCTAGCTTTCAAACACGTTCACTTAAGCACCACTGTGTTTGTAGCAAAAACATATATATTTTTAGTTTTATTGCAACAATGAACTAACTGATCAATGATAAATTAAAAATGAAGACGTGGAAGCAGTGGGCAGCCGTATCATTCGAATATGATACTACTCAAAAGTATGGATGCGGTTGTCGAACAGAGGAATTTCAGTCTCGCCCACGAACGTTTAATCTCTTGATCGCTGAGCTAACATCTAACGGTGTTGATTTCTAATTTCAATCAGTTCAGAACAGTGCGCGACTATCTACTACCATCCTAACCGTAGCTGCTACCTTGAGGCGATGGTCGGGCATGACTATCGTGATGACCCAACCGAGTTATATTGGCTGGAACACATGTTACTGAAGGTTCTACCATGCTAGACAGGTCGATTGGAGAAAGATGAGACTAAAAGCAGCTACTCAAGGTTTGAGGGCGAAGTCGTACTTTTGACTATAGAGGGGTGTGATAGCAGTAAGGTGTTTCCTTCAGATAAACAGCATCTGCAGCGATGCTGCCTTCCCGCAAGAAAGGAAGGGTTAGAAAAGGTCGACCCTAAAAATGTCACACCTCACCCTACCTCACGGATTTCCGTCTCCTTGGGTAAGGGTGCCCACTAAGAGCCTTTAAGAGCGGAGCTAATACTCTAAAAACTTCTTATAAAAAGGCCTTGTGTGTCCGGCCTGAAGCAGTTGTCCCTTAGGCTCTGCGGTCACGCACCCAGGTCTCTAAGACCAACACTAATCTACCCTGTTTTTCAGGTTCTTCAAGAAACACCCTCCCACGGTTTGGGCAGCCGGGAAGTGACATATGCCCTCGTACCTGTCACCACAGCACACGAGACCAAATTGGTCATAATCAAATCCTTCCTACACCCCCACCTAACATCTTGTTATGAATGAACAACAACAATAGCAACAACAACAACAAAATAACACTTAAGCAATTCAAAAAAGAAAATAGAATTGAAAAAAAATTATAATAATAACAAAGAATAATTTACTTACATCTTTTAATGGACACATTGGAAGCACTTGATTAACTAGAGTGGATGAAGCTGCTTCAACTAGTTTTGCACTTAAATAAGAACCTTTCATTGTATTTGATAAATTATCATCAATTATCTAGGCAATTTTTTATATGAAAACAAAAGAAAAAGAAAAAAGGAACATTAATGATTTTGACGTAATCTATTTTTTGAAGAATTGATTTCATCAACAAAAAGAAGAGGGAGGAAAATCTATCTTTTTTTCTGAATTCTCTTTAGTTTTCTTTCTGCAGATCAGTTTGATTTCCTACTAGCTTATTTATGTATGTTACAAATTGATTTCATACATTTGAAATCATCAATCAATCATTGTTAGACCACCATTAGAAACCTGGAAGCACTGAAACACGGCCGTTTCGTCCTGGTATAGGACTCATCAGTGGCAGTGCGCATCCACGACTCCTGCTCCTCGCAGGATTCGAACCCGGGACATTCGGCATTGTAGGCGAACGCCTTACCATCGGACCACTGGGCCGGCATCCAACGGTGTTAATGTCTAACTCTGATTGATCTAGGGATTTTGCACCGTTGGATGCCGGCCCAGTGGTCCGATGGTAAGGCGTTCGCCTACAATGCCCAAGGTCCCGGGTTCGAATCCTGCGAGGAGCAGGGGTCGTGGATGCGCACTTCTGATGAGTCCTATACCAGGAAGAAACAGCCGTGTTTCAGTGCTTTCAGGTTTCTAACGGTGGTCTAACAATGATTGATTGATGATTTCAAATGTGTAGAAACGCAAACCTCCAAAACTCTGCCCCAAAATTGAATTCAGTTAATGGCGAGAGAAGAATGTTATTCAGAAGAGAGCATTGGAAAGCTCTTTTTTAATCAGAGAAATTATACATTAAGATCAAACAACTCTGTCTAATACACACATCCGTTTTCAATGGTACTTCAGCTATGATCCATCCATGATGTTTACAAGTACCGATATACAGTTTTTTTTCATACATTTTGATAGAAATTTTACTTTTATAGATAAAACTATTCAGAATAAGTTTTAGTGACTAGGAACACCGAATATACTGATCTTCACGCGTCTCTATACACAGCTGAACAGTAGTAACACTGAATTAAACTTAACTGACGAAAAGATAAAAGTGAAATTTATTCACAGAACAAAAAACAATCAGAAAAGAACCAACAGTCTCTATCGATTTATGTTAAAAATAATCTAATTGACTAATAAACATTTTATTGAAATTTTTAAATTGAAAAAAAAAGATTTTTAGCCAAATTAAATTTAGCCAAACAAATTTTATTCATCAATAGACAATTCAATATGATGGTACTGTTGGTTCATTGAATCAGCAGTATAAGTTTAATAATAGAAATTGTTCTTTTTTTGTGCTTCAAGTAGAAAAAGACCTGATAACAGTTTAGATTTTCATTAATCGCTGTTGGAGTTGAGATTAAGACGGATAGATTTGAATAAAATGAATAAATAGTTTGCTTTTCATTAGAAAAAACATAATTAATTATAAGAATACTATTGCAATTATTTGCTAATGAATTTAGTTGATCAATGAATGTAAGATTATCAGTCAGTCAGTTATAATGTAGAACTTCTTACGTAAGTAGTACATACGTTCAAATTGCTATACCACATTAGCACAGAGACGCAATTGTCAGTTCAAATCCCATAGTGGTAGAGATAGGTAGAAATATAAGCAGTTATGGAGAAGATTAAAGTTTAAAGATATTATTCAAGAAATATAATTCAGTGAGATAATTTTAGAAAGAGAAACAGAGGTGATAAGGAATTAAGATTACAATTTGTGAAAACACAAAGATTGGATGCACCCGACAATGCAAACGATTTTTAGCAATGTCGTTCAAGGTTATTAACGATCGGTTACTATCGTCTCGCGAACCCCAACCAGGTAACCTACATATACCAACATGACTCAGTCCACTAGTCAGTGACTTCATGGATTTCTGCCATATTTTGGTTTGGCCGCCTCTAGCTTTCTTCCAACCTACTCCTACACCACGAAACGTAGCTCATCGAAGCAATCGGTGATTGGACATTCATACGTAACACGTGTCCTGACCAACTCGACTGATGCAGATTCACTACTTCATCTATTGATCTGCCATCCCTACCTAGTGCTTGTATCCTAACGACAGGATTGCTTACTCGATAGTCACTAGATAAACGAGCAACAATTCGGAGATACCTATGGTCGAAAAACAGTAGCCTACGAATATCTCTTACTCTTGCTGGCTATGTTTCACTACCATAGAGTAGGACAGAGCGAACTGCTATGCAGCCGATTCTTCCTTTAGCTAGGAAACGGATATCTCGCCTTCGCCATAAGTGACGCAAGTTGGCAAAAGCCAGTCGAGCCTTCTGAGTAAGATTATCAAGTAAACTGTTATAGGTAAGTTTATAGCTGGTTCGAATGTAAGTTGGATTGTGAATTTATTCACTTAAATTCAACTGTTTGGCGTTTTTTTTAAAAATTAAATCAAAAGGATTTCGCATGAAATATATACTAACATAACACAACATGCACCAATCAAATCACTCTTGATGGAGATGCCTTGGAGGACGTTAACACCTTTACATATCTGGGCAGCATCATCGATAACCAAGATGGATCTGATGCAGATGTGAGGGCACGGATTGGCAAAACAAGGGCTGCATTTCTACAGTTGAAAAATATCTGCAACTCCAAACAACTTTCAATCAAAACCAAAATCACGATTTTCAATACAAATGTCAAGACAATTCTACTGTATGGAGTGGAAACTCGGAGAACTACCAAAGCCATCATCCAGGAGATACAAGTGTTTATTAAGAGTTGTCTACGCAAAATACTTCGGATTCATTGGCCAGACACCATCAGCAACAACGTAGTGTGGGAGAGAACAAACCAGATTCCAGTGGATGAGGAAATCAGGAAGAAGTGGCGGAAGTGGATAGGACACACTACGAAAAGCACTTGACTGCTTCACAAGACAAGCCCCCACTTAGAACTCTCAAGGCAAAAGGAAAAGAGGAAGGCCATGGAACAAATTACGCCAAGAAATACAGAAAGATATGAGAGGAATGAACAAACATTGGATAGAACTAGAGAGGGAAGCCCAGGACAGAGTTGGTTGGAGAAAACTGGTGGGCGGCCTATGCTCCATTGGGGGTAACAGGCGTAAGTAAGGAAGTTAGTAAGTTCTTAAAACTATGAACAAACTTGAAAGAAGAGTATTGATTAGTGAGTTAAAGTTAGTATAAAACATTAGACTTTACAAGTACTGCTTATTTTCCAAACAATTATAATGTTTCTGTATTATCACTCAAATTGCCTTGATTGGTTTTAGCATTTTCATATAAATATTCGTGTATATCAGAGTAAAGCAGCCTGATGACGATCTAATCGAAAACAGCAATATTGTTCGCTTATACGTGTTGAAAAATTATACATTAGAAATGTTTCCATACACATAGTTTAACAGTCTATTTGAAATCAATACTAATCAAATCAATTGGAATTTCAAGAATACAGGAAGTAAATATACACTACACTACACTACACTTGATACATAATACCTGTTTAATATAATAGCAGTTATAAATTCAAACTTTTTTTTACTTTTCCTTACTTCGATTTATTTATTCAAACAGGTAAACTTATAAAAACGTGCGTGAATAAACAATCAAACTTAACAACAACAAAAACTCAACACATCAACTTTTATCGCTTGGCATTTTTGAATGTTAAAATATTATTCATTCAGTTCAGTATGATGAAGTGGATAGGACACACACTACGAAAAGCATCTAACTGCGTCACGAGACAAACCCTCACATGGAACCTTCAAGGCAAAAGGAAAAGAGGAAGGCCAAAGAATACATTACGTCGAGAAATAGAGAAAGATATGAGAGGAATGAACAAACATTGGACAGAACTGGAGAGGTTAGCCCAGGATAGAGTTGGTTGGAGAAAACTGATGGGCGGCCTATGCTCCTCGATTGGGGGTAACAGGCGTAAATAACTAAGTAAGTAAGTAATTCAGTATTAAATGAATTAAATGAAATTTCCTCTATAATTTTTTTTTTAAAAAATAAAAAAATAAAAACAAAGCAATAAATGCGTACACAGTAATATCACTCACTTTGAAACAAAAAAAATTTCAATAATATTTTTACTACTACTAATTAGTAGAATAAATTTTGAGATAATAAACGTTTAATTCAAAAAAAAAAAAAACGTATATTTTTATTATTTATTTTTCATCAAATTTTATTTTATGATTATTTAAAATTGTCCAGTAAAAAAAAAGAAAATTTGTAGGTTGTGTTTATTTAAAAAAAATTTCGAGAAATTTTTTTTATTTTGCCTACTTGTTAAAAAAAACAATTGAAATTAGAATAAAAAGTAATGGTTTTTTATTAAAATAGATAAAACAAGATATCATCACATTACGCAGATAATCATAATAATAATGAACTCACATTTAATAAATATAATCCAATTGTTCTATTTCTAAAAAGTGTATGATGTAAACTGAATGATCGAGACAGTACATGTAACAGGACAACAATAGAATGCTAAATAAATAAATATATAAAGAACACACACAGAGAGAGAGAGAGAGAGAGAAAATAAAAAAAATTCCAGGGTAATGATAAGAAATTGTGATTGGTTTTTTTTTTTTTTTTACAATTCATAGAGAAATGTTGCAATGTTGAAAAAAAAAAAAGTGAGAGTGTGGAAATCGGTGAAAAACTAGTTGTTCTATATATATTTGGTCATATCTTAGTTTAGTTCTTATAAAAAAAATAGTTAAGGTACTTTTCTAAGCAACACTTGTAACAGCCTTCAAACGCTTAAGACACATGAACACTGAATCACAAATTGATGTGATAGATTAATACAAACTGTTGTCAGACCTTCGTATGTGTGTGTTGTGTAAGGTTACCAGTTTTATATTGTATACACATACTGTAGTGAATGAGAACACAGGTGAGGGCAACCGAATTGTATTTAACGAAAATTACAGAGTTACTCTGTAAAATCGGAAAACCATATCGTAAATCGTTCGTTAATTTGCAAAATATCAGTTCATCAAATCGAACTGGACTGTTGTTCCTGTTGCAAAACATCAATCCATTGTCACTCACTATTCATGCGTTTCATACAAATTCCATTGTGTTCCCACTCTTCCTTACTTCTTGATGTTCCCCCCATCTTCTGCTGCCACCAGACATTACGTTGACACTCACGTCATATACTACTACTTATAAGTAGCTCACACCACAATACTTGTCTCTCTCCACATTTACTTGTATTATAATTTTAAATATAAACTAATTTACACGTAACCGGGAACTTTGAGACTAGTAAGAATCATAGAGCAAACTGTGTTTGTTTTCTTTTTATTCTTACCGTCTGTGTTTGACAAACTTTATATATGCATGAAATATGTACACCCGCAACATTATTCATTTTTAACTTTCCATTTCTACGTTGTAAAATAACGTGTTAAAGCCGAAAAAATAATAAACACAAAGTTAGTAAGAAAATACAATTCAGTAACCAGGGGCAACTAAAATGATGTGACCTTTGGCTAAAAACCAACTCACACATTTGATTTATGAATAGTTAATTAAAATCATTATTAACCAACTAATTTGTAATATACAGGTCAAGAGAGTGACTTGGTACTCGATCTACGTGTTGATTTAAAAATACTGGTAGACGGCAATTTGAAGACGTAAGAAAACCTATGATTCATAACAAATGTGTATTTGAGATTGTTTTCAGGAACATGTCAAGTCAATTATTATGAAGTACAGAGTTTCTAACTACAAGCGATGTAGTGAAATAGCCTGTTTGACCTAAATCTGCTCTAAAAATCAGGCATCAGGTTATAAGTTATTAGATAAAAAAAATTTTATGGTTAGAAATCGTGAGACGATAAAATAATTAATCTAAACGCTTCAGAATACACTATACTACTAACTTCTTCCAGAAGACAATCGACAAAGAAATCGTACATCAAACAACAATCACAGCATGAAACATAAAGCTGAATGTGAAAATCACTGAACAATCGTTGACCTTATTTGTCACACAGGTGATTTTGATTGTTTTAAACTAATCATCAGACGAAACATCAGCAAAACTTTGATTCAACTAAAGATTTTGTTGCACACAAATAAAAAAGCCTTATTTATGTTTACTGCCCACAACCGGTGACAAAGGAAAAAAACAAGTTAATCTATGGAGTGAAATGTTCATCACAGTCACTAATCAAACTTAGAAAGCATTATTAAACATTAAACTACTATTATTTAATAGATTATTAAACAATAAATACGCTGCTTTATTATTCTCCAAAAATGGTGTTAAATAGTATGCATAAATTAAAACAAAGGATGAGAAATGTGTTCTTTGTCTGACAAGTTCAAGTTGATTAATATATAAAACAATACCACAAGTAGCAATATTCATTTGATTAATAAGAAATAAGAAACTGTGTAATTTAACTAACGTCTATATCATCATTTCTATTTGCTGATATACAATGAATCACTCATTAATTTAGTGTTGAATCAAAAAATTATTTATAATTTACTACGAAACTAAGGATATTACTTTGTAGTGCCTTCACATATTGCATTCCAGTTCGCTTACATCTAACTTGGTTAAGCCCTTTCGATTAATTTATTTAACCAAGCCAGTTGTGTATTGCAACAATTTATGTGTACCATTGGTTCTTATTACTGTCTGGTTTGTATGAACTCAGATGACATGTCCCACTTGTCATTTGACCTTGTCAACTATTCATCGCTTTTATTCATGTGTGTGCATGTCTGTTTCGCTTGTCACATATCTGTCTTATATTTGTCTGACTATATATTCGTAGTCATACTCTATCTCTTTGAGTTGGCTCACTAGCCTTCTCCAGTTCACGTCGCTTCATTCGTTTTATTCACTGCTTCTCTGCTTCGCTTTGTGGTGTGTCCCAAATAAACAACGTATTCATCACTACGAATTCATCTTCTGATTTATAAACCGTCAGACGCTATTTGGCAACGATTGTCTGAACGAGTTAATTACCGAGCTTAAGAACACGCAGTAAAATGACACGCACACTACAAATGGTGATCCTGACGTCAACAAAATTGGCCATAACATATGGTGAGCCCGCCGTCGAATCTAACGTACTCATCACAAAACTGCCCAACGTTTCCAGGATTAATTTGACGATTACGGCGACAAATCGAATACAACCAACCAGTTGGTAACCTCGAAAACAAATCGAACAGAACCACTAACTGGAAATCCCGATGCCATACAACGACAAAGTAGCTCAGGAAATTAATGAAGTCGCTGAACGAATCAACGAATCAGATTCAATATACAACACCGACAACGCACTCTGTCATCGGACGAAAGCACCAAACCCCAATTCAGCGGTTATATGCACATACAAAAATCGTATTATCTTATTATCATTTTGATAACGTATTAACTCGCTGCATGAATCCATTTCTCAAATTATCCAATTATCGTTATCATTATCGTATTAATGTGAAAGAACGATTATTCTGATTCATGATGATATTATATATTATTACGGTAATGGAATTGGCTCGTTAGCCTCTCCACTTCGTTTTTATTCACTGCTTCGTTCATTCTTTCGCGCATTCGCTCGCCAGTGTACACTACAACTTAAATGAATTGAATAAATAAATGAGAGTACATTCATAGAATAATAAACTAAACTAAACTAGATAACTCTTTCACATACTTGAAATTGTAATACAAGATTTTCATTTTCATTGCCTAATGATTTTAAACGCATAGCAAAGTTGATAAGTTTTTTGCACATTGTCAATTCACCAATCTAAATAAAAAAATATTACAAAATGAATTAAAAAGAAAAGTAAAAGAAGAAATTAAAACTACAACATAGTAAGTAGTTCATGAAAAGAACAGAAATTTCAATTAACCGTATTTACACATAAATGTAGATTTATATTGATTGATTGAGTAGGCCATTTTACTAATCATACGTTTTGTCAGCACAGCTGGTGATGCGCTGATGATGATGCATGACAAAAACTTCAACAGGACAAAAGGTCAATTAAAGTTTTTCAAACTTAGTGTTATATTTACACTGTAGATAAGATGTTTATGTTATGATAAGTATAGTATTGGGGCTTCCCCGCGTGGGTAAAGCTCGACTGTCTTTTGCCAACCTGCGTTACTTATGGCGTAGGTGTGATAGGGAGTGAAGTAGTCGAGCGTGTTGACCGCTTCACTTATCTGCGGTGTCTCATCAGCGCTGATAGCCTGGTGACTGACGAAATCTCAGCACGGATACAGAAAGCTCGATTGGCTTTTGCCAACCTGCGTTACTTATGGCGTAGGTGTGATAGGGAGTGAAGTAGTCGAGCGTGTTGACCGCTTCACTTATCTGCGGTGTCTCATCAGCGCTGATAGCCTGGTGACTGACGAAATCTCAGCACGGATACAGAAAGCTCGATTGGCTTTTGCCAACCTGCTTCACTAATGGCGTAGGCAAGATATCCGTTCACTGACCAAAGGACGGGTGTACTGCGCAGTAGTTCGCTCCATCTTACTTTATGGCTGTGAAACATGGCCGTTAAAAGTAGATGTTCGTAGGTTACTAGTCTTCGATCATAGATGTTTAAGAAGCATTGCTCGTATATCGTGGGACAGCCGAGTAAGCAATGCTGTCGTTAGGAAACGAGTACTAGGTAAGGATGGCAGATCAGTAAATGAAGTAATGAAACTTTATCAGTTGAGGTGGTTGGGACAGGTGTTACGAATGCCTAACCACCGACTGCCTCGACGAGCTATGTTTTGTGGTGTAGGAGTAGGTTGGAAGAATGTTAGGGGCGGCCAGACCAAAACATGTCAGAAATGCGTGAAGTCACTGACAAGTGGACTGAGTCATGTTGGTAGATGTAGGATATCTGGTTGGGGTCCGCGAGACGACATTCACCAATGGTTAGATACCTTAAACGATATGGCTCAAAATCGTTTGCAATTGCGCAAGTGAATCCTTTCATTGTGCTCTCTCAAATCCTAATCTTCTGGATTCGTCAGCACCCCTACCTTTGTCTTTCTAACCTTATCCCACTGAATTATCCTTCTTGAATAATATCTTCAAACCCTAGTCTTCTTTATTACCATTAATGCGTCTCTGTGCTAATGTGGTATGGCAACATGAACTTATGTACATACGTACGAAGTTCTACGTTGCAACTGACTGACTGAGTACTTTCGGGTAATGTGGTAGGGTCATGAAATAAGTATGATTCTTGTAGGACTGTAGACGAAACTAGATTACAATTAAACAATGGAACATAAAAATTTAATTAGATCATGAGATGAATTCCATGAATGTTTTCTTTCTATTTTGAACGTATCAGCGCAACATATTGACATTTATCTCTGTGTTGAGATATTGATTAAATACAAATCAGGCCAACAATAACCATCGTCTCAAATAAATAATCCTTAATAATCATTTTTATAAGGAGGATAAATAATTTCTAATTTTACATCAGAGTACCAGTAAACTGAGCTTGAAGATATATATATATATATATATATATATATATATATATATATATATCAAAATGAATAAGGTTTACATTACAAAAAGAGTAGAAATAAATAAAAAAAGCCAAAAAGTCAGTTCAAGTCAATTGAAAGAGAAAAATAATACAAGAATACAAGAAGAATAAATAGATTAATTTGTGGCGCCATAAAATTACATAACACAAAATTAGAAACATCATTAATTAAATGAACAGAATAGCTAAAGGCATAAATAAAGATGTGTGAAGCAAACTGATCAAAAAAAATTCTATAATATGAAATAACTAATCTTGTTACTTTGGGTGAATAATATATTAGCGACATACATGCGCATTAGACATATATATGCTTAGCTCATACTAAGCTAGCCAATGACCATAACAGTGTGTTCTGTACTTTATAACGTATGTTACTGATTTTCATCATCGCTTTATAGTCCACTAAAGATAGAAACTATCAGTCAGTCAGTTAGTCAGATGCAACGTAGAACTTAGTACGTAAGTACATCGGTTCATGTTGCCATACCACCACATCAGCACATAGAGATATAATTGTCAATTCAAATCCAATAGTAGCAGTAGAGGTAGTAAAGGTATTACAAGTAATCGGACAGATTAGAATTAGAAGATATTATTCAAGAAGTATGATTAAATGAGAAAAGTTTAGAAAGTCAAAAATAGAGGTGTTGAAGAATCCAGAAGATTAGGATTTGAGAGAACACAAAGAATACATGCACCGGCGCCATTGCGAACGATTCTGAGCCATGTCATTCCGGGTCTCTAACCATCGATTATTATTATCTCGCGGACCCCAAAGAAAGAAACTATGCTCTTAAGGTCATTTCCATGTACACTAAATAAAGTAATTCGTAAGATAAGACTTGACCTTGAGATTCTAGAAGCCTCGGGAAAATATTACTGAAATTGGAGGGCAATATCAGTGATTGTTCAATCATGATAATGAAAGCCTAATCAATCGTTTTCTGGAGTAATTAAGGCATACAGAGTGAACGAAGTACTTTAGATATTTTTCAGACTTTTGTAGACTTGTTTATCAAGTTTCCGGGGTCGCAAACTTAAACCATTGAAGAAAGTTGTGGAAATTCCTAAATATTTGTCGATTGTCTCTCAAATCACCAGCTAGATTTCAAATGGCCTAATAATGAAATGGTATACTTAGTCTACCCAAGAAATAAGAGGACTGATAATTGTCTCTGAACCTTCAAAGTTTCTTCTATTATCACTACATTATCATTGTGGATATCTTCTGTATGTAGAGCGTTAATTACTTCCGTTTTTACTGCTCTCGAGCTAAAAACAGATAAATTGGGATCCGCGTTTATTTTTCGAAGTCCCACTACACATAAGTCCAATCGCAATATAGAAAGATACATTTAGTGGCCTCCAAGAGTGTAATACGTTATAAGTTTGAGAGCTTCCACCTATTTCAATTCTTCTCTGGATACTTCATTCATTATTCAATGGAAGCTTCAGTTTACATAGTCTTTCTGAAACGACTTTGGCTGAAGGTGTAACCAGCGAATAGCCGATTGGATAGTATGTATATGCAATGGATGACAAGACTTTTTGACAGGTATATGGCCTGTTATCAGGACGAGCGTGTACCTAATGATTTGGATACAGATTGATTCTTGTGGTCATTTAGCCGAATTGTGGTACACAAATATTGTCCACAATGATTGTGTAGTGATAACAGTAGTAACTTAAAAAATGCTTAGACAATTATTAAAAGACTTGTCATCTCCCGGGAATCAAGACAGAATAAATAAGGATCTTGTAGGCTGACCAGTCGCGAGTTGATATTCAATTTTCAGAAGACATATTACATGAATGGATTAGGCGGACGGATCATATAAACAATCAAAAGGATATGAATAGTCAATGGTCGACCAATCACCGACAGTGTAGTACTACTTTACGGGATATTAGTAGAATTAGGATTCTGAACAGTTGCTCGACAGCAAGCATAACGGAGGGCACAGATAAACAAGGCTTACTCACCCTTAATAAGCTACTGTTATTGAAAGCATGTAAATTAGTGAGTATGGAAGAAAAAGATTTTGCGATTAGGTGTAACAGAAGATGAGTACAAGAATCTGGGTCGTTTAGATTTGGAACAAGTGGTTAGCCTTTCTCTCTGTTGGAATTCTCAATAGTAAAAATTCAAGCCAAATCTAAAAGTGAGTGATCTAGTTTGTTCCTGAAAAAGCTTAAATGATCGAGAGAGCTCTGCCAAAGATTGTAGTTACAGGTACATAAGATGAAGTGAACAAAGTAACACTATGGACATCTATAGATACATACAACAAGATATCAGGCAAATATATAAATTGGAAGATAAGATTAAAAAATTTCTGAATGCAAAAACATTTGCATTAACCTCACGATTCTCCACCTTTGAAGATGAAATTTATGAATGACAACTAATGTAGCCGATGAATAACTTTTGTTTTATTGCAAAAATCTTCTTCTTTGTATTTCAGTGATTAATCTGGGTAGATTGGACTATTTATCTTTTTTTTTGTTTTTCTATATTGTAAGTTGACTGTTATTGCTGAGTTTATGACCTTGACTATGCGTTGACTGTTTTCTGTAATACTGTGGTGCGAGCTACTTATGAGTAGTATATGACGTGAGTGCCAACGTAATGGCTGGCACCAGAAGATGGGGAAGATCAAGAAAGGAAGAGTGGGAACACAATGGAATTTGTATGAAACGCATGAACAGTGACAATGGTTTGATGTCTTGTAACAGGAACAGTCCAGTTCGATATGATGGACTGATATTTTGTAAATTAACGATTTACGATATGGTTTTCCTAATTTACTGAGTAACTCTGTAATTTTCGTTAAATACAATTCGGTTGCCCCACCTGTGTTCTCGTTCACTACAATACGAGATCATTGATTAATACATAACTACACCGATAAGTTGAAACAATCTTCTGATTGCCGAATAAGTTATACCAATGAATTATTTAACACCAAATGAATTCTTACATTCACATATACAGACAATTCTTCCAAAATTAGTTTATCAGAGACCACAAATAGGATTAGAGATAGAATATATTCAATGTTTTCAACGATACAATAGGTTGACAGTTGTCTTGGTAAATGAGTATGTATCAGTCAGTCAGTCAGTCAGTTGCAACGTAGAACTTCGTACGTATGTACATAAGTTCATGTTGCCATACCACATTAGCACAGAGACTCATATGTCAAATCGAATCTCATAGTGATAAAGATAGTAGACGTATTAATGGTAATGAAGAAGAATAGGATTTGAAGATATTATTCAAGAAGTATAATTCAGTAAAAGCACGAGACCAAATTGGTCAAAATCAAATGAGTTTGTATTTATATTTGCTAGATAGATAGGCAATGTAATTAACTTTACAGTATTTTCAACTGTTAACAACACAACAACATAAAATTTAATTTTTTTGAAAATAAAAAGAAATTCATTGAAAAAAAAAATAATAATTCTCCCATTTATCATCATCATCATCATCATCACTTACAAGTAATCGAGTAGATTCATGCCCAGACGCCAAACAAGAGAATAATTTCACCAATGGAATTAAATGCTCCAAAAATTGTGCATGACTTTGCTGTAGTATTATATCGTTGTGAAGGATAAATACATAAACACACAAAAAAGAAATAATCAATAAAATAACAATGAGATTATTATAGTGTACTATGTGTAAAACATGTTTTTTTTGCTCATTCAAAACAAGAATAATAATTATACTGAATTATTTACCAAATTACTTTGTTGTAGATTTCTCTCTTTTTGATTCATAGAACAGATCTATTTTATGAGGTTTCCAATAAGTTCAATAAAAAGAAAAGATGTAAATGGAACTATGATCAAAGAGATACCTTGTGTAAAAAAAATATAGTTATATGACTGACCGACACATTATGTTTTAATTATAAATGAACAATAAGAATTAAAACCGTTTAACTTAAAGATAAGAAAGAATACATGGAATTAGATTGATCAGTTCAAGTGTCAAGAAGTCAAAGAAAGTCTACGTTTAATGATGACTCGTCTATATATATGACAAATAAGAAATCGTATTGATATGTGTACTTGGTGTACAGCAAAATATGCTGATGACTGTTTGTGTTAGTGTGAAGATCATGTGATGAAAGAATATCCTACTGAAGGGCTTTATAATGATAATAATAATAATAATAACCGTTAGGAAAAACTAAATGAACAGAAAGTGTAAGTAATTATTGGTAAAGCAATATTTGAAATATTCCCCAAATAAATAAATAAGTAATTTTTATATTGAAAGGTGTATTGAGAAAAACAAACACTATTGCAACCGAATGATAAAATAACAACCAGGTTAAACTTTTCTATTGATATTATTGTAGAAACAGTAACTCATACAGTCAGTTGCAACGTTGAACTTCGTACGTAAGTACATCAGTTCAAGTTGCCATACCACATTAGCACAGAGACGCAAATGTCAAATCAAATCACATAGTGATAAAGATAGTAGAGGTATTAATGTTATAATAAAGAAGACTAGGGTTTGAAGATATTATTCAAGAAGTACAATTCAGTGAGAAAAGTTTAGAAAGTCAAAACTAGGTGGGTTGAAGAATCCAGAAGATTAGGATTTGAGAGAGCTCAAAGAATGGATGCACTTGCGCCACTGCAAACGATTTCGAGCCATGTCGTTCAAGGTCTCTAACTACTGGTGACTTTCGTCTCGCGGACTCCAACCACGTAGTCTACATCTACCAACATGACTCAGTCCACTAGTCAGTGACTTCATGGATTTCTGCCATGTTTTGGTCTGGTGGCATTGTAGAAACAACATCTTTTTGTTAAAATACTTTTACTATTTTACAAAAATATATAGACGAAATAGACTCTTTCTGATTAACTCTCTATTCAGGTTCTAACAATTGTCCATATCTTAATTAATGATTTGAAAACCTGCTAAATTTACAATAAAATACATTGCTTAACATTTTAACATGTTAATTTAGAATTATTTATGAAATAAATAAAAAAAATTATTAATGTTAACATGACTAATAGAAAGTGTCAACTTCAATAAAACATTTCTATTCAACAAAAATTGCTCATTACGATTATTATTATCGTCACAATTGATTTTTAATCAAGCACGTGGTAAAAGTATAATATACTAAAGATCTCGAGTAAACTGGTACGAATCAAAAACATTCCCCATATATTTTGCAAGAAATTTAAAGTACAGTGATACATGACTTGTATGTTATGATCAACAAAGTAAAAATTGATGATACTTAGTCATTCAAATGCTGGAAGTCAATAAAAATATTTTTTATAAAACCAAAATGTGAATTGAAGATGGTATTTTAGCTAAATTACAAAACATACCTGCTCTCCTAAGGCACATTTGATGTTAAAGTACTTGTTGTGATTTAATGTTTAATGAGGCAAAATAGTATACTAACTCTTACTCCAAAACTTCAACTTCAATTTTAGCAAGTTTGTAAATAGAAGGGTGGGAAAGGATTGTATCATAGTTGATGTCAGTTGGAGATGGAAATCCTAACTCTGACCTTTTAGCATTACAGCTAATATCAGTTAGTGACGAAACTCTATGCAGCCATAGCCTTGATTCAACATGTGAGGGTTGATTATTCAAGTCAACGCTATTGTCTCACAGTTATTTTATTGCTTTACACTGTTCATCATAGGGCAGCATACTCTGGCTGGCTGATAATCCGTTCAAGGTAATCGACATATTAATTACACTTTTACCAAAAAACACATTTTTATCTAACCATTGACGATCCTTTTCGCCAAATCTTATAAGCATATCCTTATACTACTGATGTTAGAATTAATTATGTTCAAATACAAATATTCCTAAAGCAAAATTATTAATTCAGGACACACAGTACAAGGTAAATAATTGTAACTTTTTACCTATAAATACATATATTATATATATATATATATATATATATATATATATATATATATATCAGTCGCCAACACTATAATTTATTTGGCCAAAACATTATCACCTATTTAATCAGTAATTAGTTCATACATAAAAACGAAACATTTAACAAACAAATTGCAGAGTTTATATTACATATATATAAATGTATTTTTGAGTATGATACAGAATGTGAATACACTTTTTTTGATGAACAAGTTTATGTAGATGACAATGAATTATATGTTGTCGATGAAATGTTTATTGTTGAGTGAAAATTTTTGTTGCTAACAATTGACATTCATCTAACTAACGCACACAAGATAAGAATATTGTAGTGTTTCGTATTTTCATTATTTATCTTTCATAAGGGTTGAATTTCTTCTATTCCCCATAAAACCAACCGCCTAAGCTATTATAACTACATTGAATTATTTTAACATCATATGATATTATTGTTATTATTATTATTATTATTATTACTATTATTATTATTATTAGACACAGTGTACACGTTGAGTGTTTTTTTCTTTTTAGTAGTATATGTACAAATGAAATTATTGCTTACACACACACACACACACACACAAAAGAGAACAAATCTAAAACATATAAAAATAGAAACAACTAAATCTAATCAAACAGTAATCAGAAATTCATTCCATCGTTAAACCATTGGACTATTATATATATATATATATATATAATCGATGGTTAGAGACCTTGAATGACATGGCTCAAAACCGTTTGTAATGGCACCGGTGCATTTATTCTTTATGTTCTCTCAAATCCTAATTTTCTGGAATTCTTCAAACCCCCTAGTTTTGACTTTCTTAACTATTCTCACTGAATCATATTTCTTGAATAATATCTTCTAATCCTATCCTCTCCAATTACTTCTAATACCTTTACAACCTCGTCTACTATTGGATTTGAATTGACAATTATATCTCTGTGCTGATGTGGTATGGCAACATGGATTGATGTACTTACGTACGAAGTTCTACGTTGCATCTGACTGACTGACTGACTGACTATATATAAATGAAAGGTTGAATGAAATGTCTTTGGTACATTTTTTTAGTTGAAATTCTGCGCTATTTTTTATTGCTTAGTTAGAGATTAAAAGCTCTTATACAATCATCGGAAGCTCAATTGTGTATTATGAAAAGAAAGAAAGATATTTTTTAGACAAATAAAATATATTTTGGGGCAGAGTTTTGGAGGTTTGCGTTTTTACACATTTGAAATCATCAATCAATCATTTTCAGACCACCATTAGAAGAAACCTGGAAGCACTGGACGGCCATTTCGTCCTGGTGTGGGACTCATCAGTGACAGTGCGCACTCACGACTTCTGCACCTCGCAGGATTCGAACCCTTGACCTTCGGTATTGTGCGCGAACGCCTAACCATCGGACCACTGGGCCGGCCGGCACCCAACGGTGTTAATGTCTAACTCTGATTGATCTAGGGATTTTTGCGCGACCTCACCCATTTGTCTTTGGTAGTAGTTACTGCCTACACCCGATAGGGTTGATGAACTCCATTGGTCACGTTTTCTCAACTACAAAACTCCGAGTCACTGGTGAGCACTGTTACGATATTTTGGGGTAGAGTTTTGGAGGTTTGTGTTTTTACACATTTGAAATCATCAATCAATCATTGTTAAATAAAAAATATATATATTCAATGATAAATAATACTTGAATATAATTAATTTCATTGCAAAAATAAAGCTACTTTGGATTGGTTTGTTAATCTTAGTAAATTCGCCACTACTTAATCAGCTTGAACTTATTCAAATATTAGACAATGCTATTTACTATCATATAGAATGACAATATAGAATACCACTTGAACCTTATGAAATTATTAATTATTTATAAACATACAACAACAATGAGTAAACTAGGACAAGTTAATTAATCAAGCATATATATGCATAGACTGGATTGTTTATATTGAAAATATACACATATATACATATATATACGTAAATATAAAAACATACAAAATCCGATGTTTCTTGTACAGCTTTCAATAAAGATGTTACACGATAATCTATTTCACGTACAAATGAATTTGTGTATACAGTCCACATATGTAATTCTGGACTTTTATCTAAAACAAGTACTAGAACATGACACACCCATTTCATGATACGTGTTGATTCTAAATGAAGAAAACTTTCTGTAAGTGGTTGAATAATCTGAATAGAGAAAAAAAATAAATAAAATTAGAAATTACAAACAACGAATTTAACTGAGAATAAGTTATAAGAAAAATAAAGTTGAAAAAAAAATTTACAATATTGATTAGATAAGGATAAGGATATTTTATACACCAAATAACAACAATAGTCTGACTGATGAAAGATGTAATTTTATGAAATAATAATTATTAGATGTAATATAAATATATTTTTACTAGCATGACAAATATGCAATTGTAATCAATCCCTTTTGTAACTAACTAATTTATGTGCCCGAGGTTTCGGAGTCTGTATGTAAACCAAATGGTTGAAAGTTCATATAGAGTTTATTAAAACTAAAAAAGATCATTACTTTTATGTGAAAATGTGGAACTTAACTATTAAACACTAGAATAATTATGATTGATACAGCAGTAAGTGACAGCAGTAAGGTGTTTCCCTCGGACAACTAGCATCCGCAGCGATGCTGCCTTTTCACAAGGAAGGAAGGGTTAGAAAAGGTCGACCCTAAAAATGTCACGACTCACACTACCTCACGGATTTCCGTCTCCTTGGGTAAGGGTGCCCACTAAGGGCCTTAAGAGCAGAGCTAATCCTCAAAATACCTTTCATAAAAAGGCCATGCGTGACCGGCCTCAAGCAGTTGTCCCTTGGACTCTGCGGTCACGCACTCAGGTCTCCAAGACCAACACTAATCTATCTTCTTTTTTAGGTCCGTCAAGAAATAACCTTCCACGGTGTGGGCAGCCGGGAAGTGACAACCGCCCTCATACCCATAACAGCACGAGAGACCAAATTGGTCGAAATCAAATCCTTCTTACACCCACACATACCTCTCGTCTCTCCACAACTAACTGTACTCACATTCCCTTAGCTGACTGGTTGGATACTTACAATGTATATCAAATAATCTGGAAATTGTGAGTACAATATTTTTTTCCAAAGATTACCATTATCTTAGATTTCTAACTCTATGTGATGACAAATAGAACCCATAATTTCACTGGACAAGACTAACGTTAACTAGAAGTTTGTATATACAGCTTATGAACTATGTTCATCATAAGGTATGACATATAATGTATTGAACGAAGGCGTTAAGACCAGGTGGAATCAGTGATGCATTTAAAAAAGCCACTGTTTACTGGCAAAATGTGTACACCTTATCTACACACTTCTATTTGCAAAACAAGGGTATCATTGGCTGTCTTTTTTTACATATCTTCTAGTCTTCGAAACAATTTGGTCACGACATACATTGGGATCCGTTAGTATTCTTATTAGAAGTACCTTTAGGCGAAATTCCGTAGCATACTACTCATAAGATACATTTAGAGTAGTATCAATTTTTTTAAAAAAAAAACATCTTGTGAATTATGCTAGTATTGGGATCGATTTTTTTCCGAATTACATAAATATACTTCTTTTGAAGAAAAGACACTTACTAGTAAAGCAATATCATCTCCAGTAATTCCTAATCCAGCAGAAGTAATTACATGTGTTCCAAATTGATCTACCGCTTCAACTGTCTGTGTATTTGCATATTGATTGGCTAAACGCCAATAAATTAGACCACGAAGTAGACCAGTTAAAGCAAATGTTCCATGATCCAACGGTGCACAAGAACACGTTGAAACAGTTATACGACTATCAACAGGACATGATGACATGGATTTTCTGTCAGATGATGTTGTTGAACTGATTGAATTCTGATGAAATTGTTGAGTAGTATCTTCAAGATTAAATTCATTTGGAGATGTAAAAGTAACAGTAGATGTACCGGTTGACGTATTAGTAGTAGAATTGGTTGATGTGATGATATTATCATTAAGAACTCGTTTAGTACGTTGATAACGTGGTGTTGAATAACAAACATTAGGTAATACAGGAGGCATAGTTCCTGTTAAATGACTATAACATGCAACTAATTTAATTGGTTCCTCTTCATTGTATACTAAATAATATTAACATGATGATGCAAAACGATTCATGATGGAAAATGAAAAAAAAATTGGCAAAATGTAGTGTATACATACATGAAAATAATTTGATACATTATATATATTCACATACAAATGACTAATATAAATAACGAATATTTAAACCTTTGTTGGGGATGTTAGATCCCCAAAATTCGCTTGATAAATGCCTTATTTCGGTTTTCACGTTTGCCAGCATGGGCTGGTCAAGTTGACCTTGAGATTTCAAATCCCACTAGGAAAATCCATGGCTGTGATTGGTCACTGTGAATTTTAGTGTGCTATTTTCTTAACTGTCCGAAGGACGTTTCTATGTTGTATAAATAAACAAGAGTTGTAGGTTTGATTGTACTGTGATTGCTGGGTGTTTGTAGAATATACTTTCTACGCTTACAAAGCCTTTTTTCTTCAGCCTGGGGATTCAAGGTAGCCTACCTGGACGCTGGTAATTGTCTCGTTCGCGTTTATCGACTAAGGTAAACTCGTAATAGCCTCAAGCATACTAAGTGACGAGCCCTACACCTTAATAAAAACTACTTACTAATCAAAAAAAAGGAAGAGATTCTTTTTTCACATAGTAATTATGCGGATAACTAAGTATAGATTGTAATTTTGGTTTGCAATGAGAATTCATTTCATCATGGTTAATGAACGTCAAGGCAGACGACATATATACATAGATGTCGTCTAATTAATATTTATGAAAATCTACTTTTGGTGTTATAGTCTTGTGAGATGGTGGAGAAAACTTGTGGCTCAGGTGGATGATTGTGGTGGTGTTTCGTTCTCTGAGCTGGTTGTTTTGGTTGTTTAAATTACTTAAGATCTATCTGTAATTGTTTGATGATAAGTAAAAAAAATATTAATAAGGGACGGTCGAATACTGAGTTAGATAGAGGCAACCTAAATTACAATGATATACATCTTTTTATTGGATCAATAAAAGCATAGTTAAATATTAGCGTGTTCATTCATTGACTATAATTAAAGTATATGCTAATTAGGAGAAATTTAATTATACAACAAAGATTGATTACAGATAGGACTAATCAAAATTACTATTTCTTAAGAGCTAACAAATAAGTAATTATGAGTTGAATTTTTAACTATTTAGATAACAGATAATCGGTGAGTAGAATAAATTCGAGAGAATATGTAAAAAAGTTTGATTGAAACATAAAGACTATATACTTTATCTACTACTCAAATGCACTCATGGATAATGATAACGAAGATGTAAACTTTTGAGTAGTCCAACAATAGAATGAAATAGTTATCTAGTACTTTTTTATTTTCCAATTATTGTTTAATATAATTTTGAGATTTGAACTATAAAATTCAATAATCTTCACAAAACACCTTATGTAGTGAGTGATAGTAACCAAGTGTTTGCTTATTAATGACTGACTTCGTGAAGTAATTCACACAGTTCTTCTACAGTGGCGTTTGACAACACCAACTGTGAGACGAAATTATGCACCAATGAAATTGTAAGGTGGTTGTTGAATAATATCGAAAACCAATGGTTCAAAGGTTAAATGTTCGCTGCAACACCTAAAAATTTTAGATTTAATTTTTAATTAAATCAAAGTGCACTTTTGAAGAATGACATGCTAGAATGAAATAGTTGTGTTCAGTACATCTTAGTTTTTAGTGATTGTTTTACAGAAGTGTTAGTCCATGATTGTGTAGTGAATTATTCTACTTACAATTAAAAGAACGATTGATGATGAAAAGTTCAATAAACCATTAGGCTAATTTTTCAAAAGTTTTAAAAGTCATCTATTAATAGGTTAAAAACAATAAATTGTGAAGAAAGATTTAAAAATCAACAAAGAATTACATTGAATTAATAAATTAGTTAATAGACTGGAAACAGTAAACAAAATAAGAAATATCAGTAAATAAGAAATAAAGTATGAAGGTTATAGAAAGCGCAATGGTGAAATGAGTGAAATGTATAGAGATAAACGTTAAAAGACGGCAACGGCTAGGAAAGTAAATAACTAAGAATAAAGTCAGTCAGTCAGGCAGATGCAACGTAGAACTTCGTACATAAGTACATCAGTTCATGCCGCCGTACCACATCAGCACAGAGACTCAATTCAAATCCAATAGTAGAAGAGGTAGTAAAAGTATTAGAAGTAATCGGAGAGGATAGGATTAGAAGATATTATTCAAGAAGTATGATTCAGTGAGAAAAGTTTAGAAAGACAAAACTGGAGGGGTTGAAGAATTCAGAAGGTTAGGATTTGAGAGAACACAAAGAATGAATTCACTGGCGACATTGCAAACGGTTTTGAGCCATGTCATTCAAGGTCTATAACCATCGATTATTATCATCTCGCCGACCCCAACCAGCTAGTCGACAACTACCGACATGACTCAGTCTACTTGTCAATGACTTCATGGGTTTCTGCCATGTTTTGGTCTGGCCACCCCTAAATTTCTTCCAACCTACTCCTACAGTACAAAACAAAGCTCGTCGAGGCAGTCGTTGGTAAGGCATACGCAGCACATGTCCCAACCACCTCAACTGATGAAGTGTCACTACTGCGTCTATTGATTTGCCATTCTAACCTAGTACCCGTTCCCTAATAACAGCGTTGCTCACTCGGTTGTCCCACGATATACGAGCAATGCTTCGAAGACACCTATGATCGAAAACCAATAACTTACCAATATCTTCTACTCTCACTGGCCATGTTTCACAGCCATAAAGTAAGATGGAGCGAACTACTGCGCAGTACACTCGTCCTTTAGTCAGCAAACGGATATCTCGCCTACGCCATAAGTGACGCAGGTTGGCAAAAGCCAATCGAGCTGTCTGTATCCGAGCTGAGATTTCGTCAGTCACCAGGCCATCGGCACTGATGAGAATAAAATGAATAAGGTTTACAATTAGTACACGAACGATAGCACTGAACTTAATATGAGTAGTTTATCTTAACTTTAATGATTTTTTTCGGGGATTCAGTATATATATGTATAACGTTAGATGAACGGTTGAATGAATCCTCTAAGATGAAACAAATATGAGGACATTGTCATTAATCATTATTATGAAAAAGTAGTACATCTTAATTAAATTGTTCATGGACATTTGAAAAAAATTAACACACAATCATATATATATATATATATATATATATATATATATATATATATAAACTGGTTAATTGAAGCTCTTGGAAGACTAGTTCAATAATTCAATCACAGATAAAACAGATAAAACTATGCAATTAAATATCAAACTGATGAGAGACAGAGAATTTTTTTTTCCTCGCTTACAAAAACCGAGACAATAAGTCGGACAAAATTAAATCGAAACTCTAGATAACAAACAACATCTCAGTCGACTTGACTTTTGAAAAACATAGTCAATTAAAGCCTTTGCAATTATAACCTATCAAGTATTGCGCAATTGTGTTAAAAAATGGCAAACAACTAACTATGAATGACATATTCAAAAAAATATCTAAATGTAAACTGAAATCAATAAACGTCAGTATACAATAGCTCAACACATTTCAGTAAAATTAAAATTAAAAATTTAATTTTCAAATGAAATTCGAGAATTTTTTGTTGAGTTGAAATGAAGGTCTCAAAAAGAAATGCACTGTTTTTATAGATAATAATTGAATACATGATTCGTTTATTAGATAAGAAAATTGTTAGGTTTTAAACTGAAAAAAGATTTTTAAAAAAAGGGGAACAACATGTCTATTAGAAAAAAATAAGCTTACTTTTTTTAAATGAATCTAATGCATTCGGTAAATGGAAGAATAGATGTAACATTAATTTCAGTGAAAATCTAGCAGCCTAAGCAAAAAAAAAAAGAAAATGAAAATATAATTCACATAAGTGATAATATAAGTAAGTAAGTAATAGCCAATAAAAATTCCTAGAATAATTAAAATTGGTTGAATTAATAGTTTATTTATAGAACAGAAGATATGCATTACGGCGTTGTGAAGATTGTTAAGTTACACATTTTTTTTTGAAACCATGAATCGATCAATGTTAGACCACCATTAGAAACCTGGAAGCACTGGACAACTGTTTCGTCCTGGTATGGGACAGATTCGTCAGTGGCAGTGCGCATCCACGACTCCTGCACCCCGCAGGATTCGAACCCAGGACCTTCGGTAGTGTGCGCGAACGCCCTAACCGTTAGACCACTGAGCCGGTATCCAACGGTGTTAATGTCTAACTTGATCAAATTCACGGAGTTGCGCAACCTCATACACAGTCTTCGGTAGACACTGCCTACACCCGAACAGGTTGAACTTTACTGAACAGAACAGAAGATAACAACTTATTATTTGAATAAATGTAGTTAAGATTTTCAAAAAAATAAAATAAAAGAACTGTCATTTCAATATAGAATATTCAATCAGTATTATATATAAAAAGTCGGTTAGCTTCAACGTAGACCTTAGTACGCACGTACATTAGTTTAAGTTACCATACCACATTAGCAAAGGCAGATGGAATTGTGAATTATAATCGGATCGTAGTATATGTTGCAGCAATATTAGAGATAATTGAATAGATAAGTGATCGAACATGAGATTTAAGGAGTATATCCCAATGAAATAAATTTAAAAACACAAAATAAAGGTCGTGAAGAATTCAGAAGATTAGGATTTGATACAAGACAAAGGATGGATGCACCTGCACCATTGCAAACGATTTTGAGCCATGTCATTCAAAGTCTCTAATCACCGGTTACAATATATATAGTAAGACTAACTCGTCAAATAAGAAATGATTTATATTAATAAAATAATCAAGTATGACATTTCAAGAGAGCTAGAATTTTAATTATTGGGTTTCCAGTCAACAACGTTGCTACATCAACTTCTGCTAGTGCAACAGGGTAGTAGTATCAAAGACTCTTTAACATACACATGCACACAAACTAAAAGGAACATGAAGATAAAGGTTGTAAGAAGATGAATGTAGGATAATTGTGTAATTTGCATCACGTAACAAGAATCAAACCACCAGGTTAACTAGAAATTTATTAAGCAAGAAAACTGTACCAAGATATATTCCACAAGTAGCTAGCTATTCATCGTACTGTACCAGTACCACTGAGAAATTAACTAGGATAGAAACAAAAGTATTCCTTCTTTGTAGTACATGCATATGATATATGGCTTATTACATGATCCTATGAAAGTCAAGAATGATTCGGATTAGGACTTTATTTAAGTAGTACTAAGTAGTACTATAGTGTCATAAAATAATTTCAACGAGATACCAAATATTCCTTAATTTTACCTTCTTCATTTATGATTACAGTCGAATAATGGTATAGTTTTGTGAATAGTCTTAGTTCAGTACATCAAAATGAAGATAGCTAAATCCTTACACTACAATTGTGAAAATGTATTAATATGAGACACTACCTTTGTCTTTGTAACCTTATCTCACTGAATTATACTTCTTGAATAATATCTTCAAACCCTAGTCTTCTTCATAACCATTAATACATCTACTATCTTTATCACTATGGGATTTGATTTGACATTTGCTACTCTGTGCTAATGTGGTCTGGCAACATGAACTTATGTACATACGTACGAAGTTCTACGTTGCAACTGATTCACTGATGAGACACTATAATTCAGACGATTAATAAATATAGACGGTTTGTTTTCAGACAAAATACCTAAAAGTAATAAAAATGATAGGATGACTATGAACTTCATGTTGTAAAACATGCACAACTGAAACGACTAATGAAGGTGAAATATGATCTTCTCATAGAAAATCTTATTAAATTTTGCAGTTTCAGTGAATAATAATTATTGCTACACAATGAAGGATATTTCTTTTATTTGTGAATGTATTGGGTCGATAATAATAATAATAATAATAATAATAATATGAAGTGTAAAAACATAGGAACCAACAGGATATGTCGAAAAAAAACACCAACCACACATACCAGTTGATTATTTGGACTAATGGTACGATTACAACCAACACGATTGCATAAAGCTTTGCCTCGATTCACTGAATCTGATTTAGGCTGATCATTTAACCTGAGACGATGTCTACATGATATGAACATAATTGTTTGATGACATAAATTCAATGCACCGCATCGATGAAGACGTTCAGCTAATTCATAACTTGTAGATAATACAGATAAAATTTCAATAAGTGAACATCTAGCATTTGCTGTTAATACAAGAATAGATTGATTGGCTGATAATAAATTGGGTGGGTTGTTTTTGTTGCACTCCAAAATGGTATCAGGAAATGTACATAAAAGTGAATTGATCAATACTTGTAATGTTGTCTCAGTAAAAAGTTCCTAAAGTGTAAAATAGAAAACAATAGCTCAAAAGCTTGAATTATGTATATATACATGACAGAATTACAAAGTATTGCAACTCCGCCTGTAGACCCTTTGGGGCTACTGCCGGTCCCAAGCCCGGATAAAGGAGGAGGGTTGGGCATGGGGTTGGCGACCCCATCCCACCAAAAAACTAACTTGCCAAAAAAACGCTAACCAGAAGAAATAATTTAAACCATTTTAAGTAAGTAAGTAAGAAAGTACAAAGTACTGCAATAACATATTGTACATAATGAAGGTTAGTCATTTACTAACAAGCAGGTTAATTAGACATTAATATTTTGAACTATTGAATGATAGTCAGTCAGTCAGTCAGTCAGTTACAACGTAGAACTTCGTACATACGTACATCAGTTCAAGTTGCCATACTAAATTAGCACAAAGACGCAATTGTCTATTGAAATCCCATAGAAGTAAAGTTGCTAGATGTAGTCGGAAAGATAAGGGTTCAAAGATATGATTCAAGAAGTATTATCTAGTGAAATAAACTTGAAAAAGAAAAAGGTGATGGAGAATACAGATATCGAATGATAAAGTCCATTGGATTTCATTCTCCATTGATCTTGTTTTGATATTTGTCCTGCTTTGACAAGCTTATTTAGAGTCTTTGAGATTTGACTGTCCAACTGTTTTATGGGGTTTGTGTCGACTGGTTTATACACGCTTCTGTCCTGAAGTAGATCCTCGGCTTTCTTGATATATTCCTCCTTGACCATGATCACTGTCGTGCATCCTTTTTCCGCTGGAACTATGACTATATCTTCTCTGGTTTTGAGTTTCTTTAGAGCTTTTCGTTGTTGTGCTGTTAGTTGGTTGTTGTCTCTCTTCCGTCGAGTTAGTGGTACTATCGTTTGCCTCATTTCTTGTTGAGTTTCTTCACTTATTCCTGCCGTTTTAAGTGATGACTCTAATGCTGCGAAGAATTCCAGTTTTGAAGCGTCTTTCGTGTTATAGTTTAATCCTTTTTGGAGCAGTTGTTCTTCTGTTGTCGTTAGATGTTGCTTTGATAGGTTGACCATGCAACTGTTTGCGTTTTCTTCTGTGGGTGGCTTTGAAATCTTGATTAGTTTGTCTTTGAGGATGCTTCTTCTTTGTTCTCTGTGTCGTCTGCTTGACAGTTCGATCGCCGTTGTCAACGTTGTTAAGTGTTCTGATGTAAGTATTCTTTCTAGTTTTCTTTTTTGTTCATCCATGTTGCGCTGGTATTTATGGATCCTGTAGTGTGCATCTAACTTACTTACTTAAGCCTGTTACCCCCAATGGAGCATAGGCCGCTCACCAGTTTTCTCCAACCAACTCTGTCCTGGGCTTCCCTCTCCAATTCTGTCCATTGTTTGTTCATTCCTCTCATATCTTTCTCTATTTCTCGGCGTAGTGTGTTCCTTGGCCTTCCTCTATTCCTTTTGCCTTGAGAGTTCCATGTGAGGGCTTGTCTCGTGACGCAGTTAGGTGCTTTCCGCAATGTGTGTCCTATCCACTTCCACCACTTCTTCCTGATTTCCTCCTCCACTCGAATCTGGTTTGTTTTCTCCCACAGTACATTGTTGCTGATGGTGTCTGGCCAACGAATACGAAGTATTTTGCGAAGAAAACTGTTCATAAATACCTATATCTTCTGGATGATGGCTTTGGTAGTTCTCCATGTTTCCGCTCCATACAGTAGAACTGTCTTGACATTTGTATTGAAAATGCTGATTTTGGTTTTGTTTGAAAGTTGTTTGGAGTTCCAGATATTTTTCAACTGTAGAAATGCAGCCCTCGCTTTGCCAATCCGCGCCCTCACATCTGCATCCGATCCACCTTTCTCGTCGATGATGCTGCCAAGATATGTAAAGTTGTTAACGTCCTCGAAAGCATCTCCATGAAGAGTGATTTGGTTGGTGCATGTTGTGTTGCATCGGAGAATTTCGCTTTTACCTTTATGTATGTTGAGAATTACTGCTGCAGAGGCTGCTGCTACACTGGTCGTCTTCTCTTGCATTTGTTGTTGAGTGTGCAATAGAAGAGCCAGGTCATCTGCGAAGTCCAGATCGTCCAGCTGCGTCCTAACTGTCCAGTTGATACCGCGCTTCCCTTCAGATGTTGACGTCTTCATAATCCAGTCGATGACCAGGAGAAAGAGAAAGGGTGAGAGTAAGCAACCTTGCCTGACACCGGTCTTCACCTCAAACGAGTTTGTCAGCTGACCTCCGTGCACGATTTTGCAGTTGAATCCATCATAAGAATTCCGTATGATGTTGACTATTTTCTCAGGCACACCATAGTGTCGAAGAAGCCTCCACAGTGTTTTCCTATCCACGCTATCAAATGCTTTCTCGTAGTCGATGAAGTTGATGTAGAGTGGTGAGTTCCATTCAATTGATTGTTCCACAATGATCCGTAATGTAGCAATTTGGTCAGTACATGATCGATCCTTACGAAATCCGGCCTGTTGATCTCGAAGTTGAGCGTCTACGAAGTCCTTCATTCTGTTTAACAATACCCTGTTGAAGACTTTGCCTGGTATTGAAAGAAGAGTGATGCCTCTGTAGTGCTCACACTTGCTGAGATCGCCTTTCTTTGGTATTTTGATGAGGTATCCTTCTTTCCAATCTGATGGTACTTGTTCCTCATCCCAAATCTTCTTGAAGAGGATGTGAAATATTTTCGCAGTTGCTTCTACATCTGCTTTCATTGCCTCTGCTGGAATGTTGTCTGGTCCTGCTGCTTTGCCGCTCTTGATTTGTCTGATGGCCATACTGATCTCCTCAATCGTAGGTGCGCCAATATTAATTGGGAGGTCCTTGGATGCTGCTTCGATGTTGGGTGGGTTCAGTGGAGCTGGTCGATTCAATAGTTCCTTAAAGTGCTCCACCCACCTATTTCGCTGTTCGTCAGTGTTGCTGATTATTTTCCCTTCCTTGCTTTTCACTGGTCGTTCTGGTTTACGATAGTTCCCGGCGAGCTTCTTTGTTGTTTCGTACAATTGTCTCATGTTTCCTTCTCTTGCAGCCTTTTCCGCCGTCATTGCTAGATCTTCCACATATTTTCGTTTGTCAGCTCTGATGCTCTTCTTTACTTCCCTGTTTGCTTCTGTGTATGCAGCTTGTGCGGTAACTTTCTCCGCTCTTGTTCGGCTGACATTGATTGCTGCCCTCTTGTTCCTCCTTTCTTCAATTTTTGCGAGAGTATCAACAGAGATCCATTCCTTACGATGGTGCTTCTTGCGACCAAGGACCTCCTGACATGTTGAAGTGATTGCCTCCTTAATCCCTTTCCAATTGTTCTCCAATGTTGTTTCCTCTCCATTGAGTAGATCCTGAAAGGCCTGGAACCTATTGGTGAGGGCTACCCTGAATTCGTTGAGCTTTACAGTATCCCGAAGAAAGGCTGTATTAAACTTGTGCGATGTTGTCTGTCCCGTTGTCCAGTGCTTCTTTAGTTTCAGCCTCATTTTGGCGATCAGCAAATGGTGATCTGAAGCTATATCAGCTCCTCTCTTGGTTCTCACATCCTCCATGGTCCTTCTGAACTTTTTGTTGATACAGATATGGTCAATTTGGTTTTGAGTAGTGTGATCCGGTGAAATCCATGTGGCTTTGTGAATGCGTTTGTGCGGGAATATTGTGCCACCGATAACCAGTTTGTTGAAGGCACATAGGTTTTCAAATCTCTCACCATTTTCGTTTCTTTCTCCCAGTCCATGTCGTCCCATGATGTCTTCATATCCAGTGTTGTCCATGCCAACCTTGGCATTCAGGTCTCCCATATGAATCGTTAAATCCTTTGGTGAACATTTCTCGACGATTGACTGCAGCCTTTCGTAGAATTGATCTTTAACGTCATCATTGTAGTCATTGGTAGGTGCATAACATTGGATGACGTTCATTGTAATGTCCTGTTTCTTTGTTTTGAAGGATGCTTTGATGATCCTAGGTCCATGAGATTCCCATCCTATCAGTGCCTTTTGTGCATGTTTGGACAGCATCAGTGCAACTCCTTGTGTATGTGAAGCATTTTCCTCTTCATAACCAGAATATAACAGCAGTTCCCCTGAAGCTAGTCTCAGTTGTCCTACCTGTGTCCAATGCGTTTCACTGATGCTGAGCACCTCGAGGTTGTATCTTTTCATTTCTGCCGCAACTTGAAATAGTCTTCCAGTCTCCCACAATGTACGAACGTTCCATGTACCTAAAAAAATGGTTGCTCTGGTTGTCAGAAGAGGCATCAGCCCCGTGACTTCCGAGGGAACTCGGCTTTCATCACGAGACGTCATAATTCTTCTTCCAACTCCCAGGGCAGAGTTAAAATGGTTTGAATTATTTTTTCTGGTTAGCGTTTTTTTGGCAAGTGAGATTTCAACGGAATGGGGTCGCCAACCCCATGTCCAACCCTCCTCCTTTATCCGGGCTTGGGACCGGCAGTAGCCCCTAAGGTTCTACTGGCGGAGTTGTAGTGTGCATCGGTGATCATTAATTGTACCATATGTCTCCCACTTTGCTCCGCTATTCGCCATCCCATTGGGCAGTTGATTGGTGGTCTATATCTGACACTTGTTGGCAGAACATGCAGACGGAGGCATTCGTGGAGAAAAAACAGTTTTTCTCTAGTGGAAGCCTGCCTTTTGGTGAAATTCTCCCATTTTCGAACAACGAGGAGCGTATCACGCTCATATGATTTTCAGATGGTGGAGAAAACTTGTGGCTCAGGTGGATGATTGTGGTGGTGTTTCGTTCTCTGAGCTGGTTGTTTTGGTTGTAGAGCTTTCATAGTTCTTCTAAACAACATCATCAGCACAAACTTCAGAAGTATAAACATCTTTCACGCTTCGAATCATACTGCTGACTAGTTTTTTTTATTTTATTGTTAAACTGATCAGAATAAATTATTCAATTATTCTTTCTATATTCATTTCATTTTGATTAAAAATGCACATCCAGTCACTAAAAATTTGACTGATTGAAAGTAACCAGTAACATGTTTTCCATTCGAAATTTAGGAGAATAATTAACTTTTTGAAGGATAAAGCTTTCTAAGTGGTAAGATAACTCTACTACTGTACTAAGATTTTTAGAAAGATTCTTAGAAATTCCTCTTGTTTTATTTATGCTGTATAAATAATCACCTCAACTTACAATAAAAGCATGAAGTTCAGTGAAGGGATCACTTTCCAACGAATTTATTATCAAGTTGTATTGTGGTGCGAGCTACTTATAAGTAGTATATGACGTGAGTGTCAACGTAATGTCTGGCAGCAGAACATGGGGGAAGATCAAGAAAGAAAGAGTTAGAACACAATGGAATTTGTAAGAAACGCAAGAACAGTGACAATGGATTGATGTTTTGCAACAGGAACAGTCCAGTTCGATATGATGGATTGATATTTTGCAAATTAACGACGTACGGTATAGTGTTCAGATTTTACAGAGTAACTCTGTAATTTTCGTTAAATACAATTCGGTTGCCCCACCTGTGTTCTCATTCACTACAGTATATATATATATATATATATATATATATATATATACACAGAATGAATAAACATGATGTTATAGTAGATAGTTTATAATGCACTAGATTATACAGTGTATAAAATGAGAACAAGTAAAAAAAATTGTGAATATACAAATAAAAAACATTGTGTAAAATTTAGCTTACAATGGCAATTTTTTCTCGAGGTGATTGTACCACTACTGAACCCAAGTCTCCAGCTTTGAAAAGGCTACGCAAGAATAATAAATCTGCTTCACGAATCATAGGATCTGTCTTTTCATTTAAAATTACTATTTATAGGAATGAAAGAGAGAAAGGAATAAGGGGTTGTTATATATGTAAAACAAATCAAACTTAATAAAGTAAGCATTAAAAAAGAAACAGCGAATATCGATATTTATATTCGGTAGAATTTTTAAGAGAATTGAATCAATGTCTAGAATAGAAACAAAACGATAATGTTTAAAATACTAAGTTTATACTGAAGTTAATAATACACAAAATGATATAAATGCATACATGATGCCTGCTACAAATTTCATTCATTCATTTACTTTAAAAATAAAATAAAGTTACACATTTTTGAAACCATGAACCGATCAATGTTAGACCAACACCATTAGAAACCTGGAAGCACTGGACGGCCGTTTCGTCCTGGTATGGAACTCGTCAGCAGTGCGCATCCACGACTCCTGCACCCTGCAGGATTCAAACCCAGGACCTTCGGTAATGTGCACGAACGCCCTAACCGACAGACCACTGAGCCGGTATCTAACGGTGTTAATGTCTAGACTGATCAATTCACGGAGTTGCGCAACCTCATACACAGTCTTCGGTAGTTACTGTCTACACCCGAACAGGTTGAACTTCACTGGTCACGTCTTCCTACTAGAACTCGGAGAAGATTCCTCATGAAGCTAGTCACTAGTGAGCACAGGTAATTTGCATTACGGGGTTGTGATGATTGTTAAGTTACACATTTTTGCTTCCAGGTTTCTAATGGTGGTCTAACATTGATCGGTTCATGGTTTCAAAAATGTGTAACTTAACAATCTTCACAACCCTGTAATATAAAATAAAGGCTTCTAGATGAAATCAATGAAATCAATTCCAGATAAGAAATGTTAACTTTTGTAAAACAAAAAAAAATCTAATTTATAATGGGCTAAAATGTTATTTCAAGACAATAAATATAACCAAAGAATAGATGAAGAATATTCATCAAAATGTGCCGAAGAATGAAAAAAAAACCACATCATCATGAAGTTAAATAAATTTATTTTCGTATTATATGACTTCTCTACAACAACAACAACAACAACAACTACAAATAAATAACTTATATTATTCACCAAAAAGAAAAACCATAGAATTTTAAACCGTAGGTTATCACACTGAATAGAACAGAACATGCGCGATATTTGTTAGCTATAGACAGTAAAACAAGACATATAGATATCACACTAGTTCATGATGATTGAAAATATTTGAAATCATCAATCAATCATTGTTAGACCACCATTAGAAACCTGGAAACACTGGACGGCCGCTCCGTCCTGGTATGGGACTCATCAGCAGTGCGCATCCATGACTCCTACACCTCGCAGTCATTCGAACCTGGGACCTTTGGCATTGTAGGCGAACGCCTTACCATCGAACCACTGGGCCGGCATCCAACGGTGTTAATGTCCCTAGATCATTCAGAGTTAGACATGAGTCCCATACCAGGACGAAGCGGCCGTCCAGTGCTTCCAGGTTTCTAATGGTGGTCATCTAACAATGATTGATTGATGATTTCAAATGTGTAAAAACGCAAACCTCCAAAACTGTGTCCCAAACGATTGAAAATATGCCTTCAGGAATATAGTAGGATTGTTATTTTCATTTTGATGAAAAAAAATTATCGTAAGTCATAATTATTTTGCTCCAAAAAAGAGTTGTATTTTCTTTTTTGGGTTTGTATATATTGACAGATAGTTTAGTTTACGAGAAATTAACTATGAAATCAAATGAATTCATGTTCTCTATACACACCGTGTTATTTTGGGCCATGATCAAAATGATTCAATGAACAAATTGCATGACAGACAGAAGTATCATCGATTGTACTCCAAAATATTATTATTATCGGCCAGCTTGTAACCGTTCCTCAGCTTTCTTTTGATTTAATATAAACGTCATATTAAGAAGAACTAAATGCAGCGAAAAGAATCTTTTCGACAATGTAATCTACCATAACTGTACAATCTTCATAGCAATTTATTGGGTTCGTCACCAAGTATGCTTGAGGCCATCACGAGTTTACCTTAGTCGATAACCACGAACAATACTTTTACCAGCGTCCAGGTAGGCTACCTTGAATCCCCAGGCTGAAGAAAAAAGGCTTTGTAAGCGTAGAAAGTATATTCTACAAACACCCAGCAATCACAATACAATCAAGCATACAACTCTCGTTTATTTATACATCATAGAAACGTCCTTGGGACAGTCACAAAAAATAGCACACTAAAATACACAGCAGCCAATCATAGCCACGGATTTTCCTAGTGGGAATTGAAATCTCAAGGTCAACTTGACCAGCCCATGCTGGCAAACGTGATAACCAAAATAAGGCATTTAACAAGCGAATTTTGGGGATCTAACATCCCCAACACAATTTATTTAGATAAACAGATAATTTGTGAATCTATATTTGTAAGCTACTACACTGTTATATGCTTTGTCCAAAGTCCTTATACTTTTTTGTTACAGCATTCGTAAACTATTAGCTGCAATCATGCTTTAAAAGATTCAAAAACAAACTAAACTTTTTCCTACATCTTTTTTAAAATATAAACTTATTAAATATCCAAATAACACAAATTGAAAAAAAAACGGTTAGGCCTAAATACTTATCAGAGAGAGATATAGTAGTACTTAAGTACTTATAATATATTTTTAATGAAATTTGTCTCAAAGCCGGTAAAAAGGACATATTAAATAAATGTAAAATTTTGTTAATTTAACAATTTAGATTGATCTAAAAAGAAAATTGAATTTGTACACTTATTTCTTCACTTCAGTTCCATAAATTTCTTAAACTTCACTAAAATTTTCTATTTTTCATCATAGAGTCATGGAGAGTATTGAGTTTTATTGAAATTATGGATTGATCATTGTTGGATCACTCACGAGTAAAAACCTGGAAGTACTGAACTGCCGTTTCATCCTAGTACGAGACTCATCAGCAGCGCTCATCCACAAACCCAACTCGCAGGATTCGAACCCAGGACCTTTGGTCTCACGCGAGAACGTTTAACCTCTAGAACACCGAGTCGGCATCCAACAGTGTTAATGTCTAACTCTGATCAATATAAAGTTTCGTACGACCTCACCCATTGTCTTTGGTAGTTACTGCCTCCCCTCAACAAAGTTCAACTTCAGTGAACCCGGTTTTTTCACGAAGTTAGTCACAAGTGGAGTTCAACCCTGTTGAGTGTAGGTAATAACTACCGAAGACAATAGGTGAGGTTGAGCAATATCGGGAACTGATTGAAGTTAAACATTAACATCGTTGGATGCTGGCTTAGTAGTCTAGAGGTGAGAGACTGAAAGTCCTGGCTGGCGAGTTCCACACTAGGACAAAACGGCCATCCGATGCTTCCAAGTTTCTAATGGTAGTCTAACAATGATCGATTCATAATTTCAATGACAATATTCTACCACCACTGTATTGACACAACAATTACACAATGAAATAAATACCATATGGCTTCTCTGTTAAAAGTTTAAACACAGCAGTATGTAAGTAGTTGCTTAGAGACGAGAGATAGAATAAACGAAAAGAATACTGACTGGTATTTACCACACCTGCGGTGAAAAGCATGAGTATTTAGTCAACAAACTTTGTTTTAAGAAGAAGAAGAAATGTTTAAAGATCGTGTGTTTAGTTCACATTAAAAAATTAGAGGAAATAAAGAAAACAATGAAAACGTATTTCATATCATTTAGATAATTATGACAGTGTATGGAACATTAGAAGGATATGAATATTATATCACTAGAATAAAATTCAATGGAAAAAAGAAAACAATTCTAAACTTCATACGATTGATGAAAATTTATTTAATTTTCTTTCATATAATCAATGAGCATTTATTTATATTAGCCAAGAAACAATGCATCAATAGAAATATCATTTGGTACTACTTATCTTTCTAAAAACAAGTAAGTAGTAATACAGGATACATATTGATAAACTAGAAAACTTGAATCAGTATGAAGAGATTATTGAGACAAAAATATGGCTAAAGCTCAGTCATTCAATCAGATGCAACGTAGAACTTTGTACGTAAGTACATCAGTTCATGTTGCCATACCACATCAGCACACAGATATAATTGTCAATTCAAATCCAATAGTAGAAGAGGTAGTAAAGGTATTAGAAGTAATCGGAAAGGTTAGGATTAGAAGATATTATTCAAGAAGTATGATTCAGTGAGAAAAGTTTAGAATGTCGAAACTAGAGGGGTTGAAGAATCCAGAAGATTAGGATTTGAGGGAACACAAAGAATAAATGCACCGGCACCAATGCAAACGGTTTTGAGCCATGTCATTCAAGGTCTCTAACAATCGATTATTATCATCACGCGGACCCCAACCAGGTAGTCGACAACTACCGAATGACTCACTCAGCTTGTCAGTGACTTCATGGATTTCTGCCATATTTTGGTTTGGGCGCCTTTAACTTTCTTCCAACCTATTCCTACACCACAAAACAAAGCTCGTCGAGGCATACGCAACACATGTCACAACCACCTCAATTGATGAAGAGTCACTACTTCATCTATTGATCTGCCATCCTTACCTAGCACCCGTTTCCTAATAACAACGTTGCTCACTCGGGTGTCCCACGATACACGAGCAATGCTTTTTAAACATCTACGATCGAATACTAGTAACCTACGAATATCTTCTACTCTCACTGGCCATGTTTCACAGCCATAAAGTAAGACGGAGTGAACTACTGAGCAGTACACCCGTCCTTCGGTCAGCGAACGGATATCTCGCCTACGCCATAAGTGACGCAGTTTGGCAAAAGCCAATTGAACCTTCTGTATCCGTGCTGAGATTTCGTCAGTCACCAGGCCATCGGCACTGATGAGACTCCCAAGATAAGAAGCGGTCAACACGCTCGACTACTTCACTCCCTATCACTAGTTCAGGTGCTGTTGCAACCCAATCTTGAAGCAACATTTTGCTAAGAAAACTTATTTATAAATTTACATCAACACCTGCTATCAACACTACAACATGTAGCTTCAATTCCTGGACTTTACTCTCTAAATATACTGAGGATGTATACCGTTGAATGTACACATTGCTTTTTATAGTTTGACTCATTGAATTTTCCAAATATTAATAAATAGCCAAACTGTTTTTCTCGAACAAAATAAATTCACTAAATTAACTTGAATAATTTCATCTCTTTAACAGCAAATAACTAAAAATTTTAGCGTGAGCAAATAAATGAAAACAGCCTGTTTGTTCTAGACAACTGGAGGAATAATTGTGCATACTACTAGTGATAAATAATTTCTATCTCCGGTTATTTTCATTTGTTATTTCACAACAGTCTCCTTTCTAATATTTGTTCATCTTGTTACCCTTTTTAGAAGTGTAATCATCATCATCGTATTCATGAAAAATCAAATGTATTTTAAAAATATAACCATTGTATAAATTGTTATTACAACGAAAAAGAAATATATATATACTGACAATAATAATAATAATAATAATAATAATAATAATAATAATGATAGCTTACAATTTATGAAATCAGTTAAAAGTTTTGGATGATTAAGAATATCCTCTGACAATGAAGAACAATCACGTACTAGACTGTTAACTAAACCAAATAAATCAATGCACACATTGATATGTGTGACAGACCATTGATTTAAACGACTAAGTGAACCAAGCAAGCTGAAATTTATGATAATGATAAAATATGAATCAATCAGTATAAAATTGAACAACAGAAAACAAAGCAAAAATAAAAATTGAATTTAATTAGTTTATAGGCTACTTAAAGAATTTTTATACTTTCTACAAATTACGATAATATTTTTGTTTAGTAGCTAACTACAAGTTATTATATTCGATGTATTAATAATACGCACAGACAATTGGGATGAGATGGAAATTCATCAACATCGGTATCTCAGTTTTCAAAGCACATGAGGCCGTCGTTATTAAGAAGTGTACTCTGAAGACAGACAGACAGATACAACACAGAACTTCGGACATAAGTACATCAGTTCAGGTTGCCGTACCACATCAGCACACAGAGACGTAACTGTCAGTTCAAATCCAAGAGTGATAGCGATAGTAGTATTATTAGCAGCAGTAATGGAGAAGATTAGGGAGCGAAGATATGATTCCAAAAGTATAATTCAGTGAAATAAATTTAGAAGGAAAAAGATAGAGATTATGAGGAATTCAGGTTAGAATTTCATAGAACACAAAGAGTGGATGCACCTGCGCCATTGCAAACGATTCTGAGCCATGTCATTCAAGGTCTCTAACGACTGGTGACTTTCGTCTCGTGGACCCCAACCAGGTAGCCTACATCTACCAACATGACTCAGTCCACTTGTCACTGACTACATGCATTTCTGCCATGTTTTGGTCTGGCCGCCCCTAACTTTCTTCCAACATACTCCTACACCAAAAAACATAGCTCGTCGAGGCAGTCGGTGGTTAGCCATACGTGACACATGTCCTAACCACCTCAACTGATGAAGTTTCAATGCTTCATCTATTGATTTGACATCCTTACCTAGAACTCGTTTCCTAACGATCGTCCCACGATACACGAGCAATGTTTCGGAGACATTGATGATCGAATACTAATAACCTGCGAACATCTTATACTCTTAACGGCCATGTTTTGCATCCATATAGGAGAACGGAGCGAACTGCTGCGCAGTACACTCGTCCTTTGGTTAGCGGGCGGATATCTCGCCTGCGCCATAAGTGACGCAAGTTGGCAAAAGAAAATCGAGCCTTCTGTATCCGTGCTGACATTTTGTCAGTCACCAGGCCATCAGCACTGATGAGACTCCCAAGATAAGTGAAGCGGTCAACACGCTCAACTACTTCACTCCCTATCATTACTTCAGGTGCCGATGAAATCCAATCTTGAAGCAACATTTTGCATTTCAAGGGTGTGAACCGCATCACGAACATCCTTGCATTGTTGCTTAGGGTGGTCAGAAGACTCTGCATTTTGTCAGCGTCTTCACCAAGTAGGACTATATCATCGACACCACTCGACCAGTGGTGTTCGAGTAGAGAGCTTGTATAAGGTTAATGTACTTCTTTGGCACACCTTTCAATGACAGACATTGCCACAGAACCTCACGATTCACTGAGTCGAAGACATCTACAAGAAAAGAACATGTCATATGAAAATATTTTATTTAAAAGATGCATCAATCCGCATTGTGTAAACAACCAGTAGACATCAATATCCAATCTCAAGACAGTTCCTATTTAGGATTTGTTTAGTACCTAGGCGTAATGACTTAAATCACGGTTTAACAATGCTCACAAGTAAGCTTCATCAACAGTGCCTTCTCATTGCTTTGATGTTTGGTGAACCTGATTATTACAGTAAAGGTAGATTTTAAAACCTCGAAAATTGGGTGGAAGATATATGAAGCTGTCAAATTTATTGCTTTAAAATGTGATTAGATTGTCAGCAAGATCTACTACCATTCTTGCATTTGAAATCTATGTTGTTGATTTATTAGCTTTAACAAGTCTTGTAAAAGTGCTCTAAAGGTAGGGGTCAACACTCAATAAAACGCCGTTTCATCAGTGGATAATCAGCTTTTAATTGTAAAGTAAGTACAAATATCAATATATACCAAGAAAAATGTAAACTTACCATGGACGAAGAACAGAACTATTTCCAACGACCAGCTTGTTCATTACACTAGCCACAACGAATTGACGGAGGATTCTGTTATTAAGTATACAAATAACGTAAAACGATTCACATCATCAAAAAAATTTCGACCATGAATATAATTGTAAAAGTAATCGATCAATGATACGTGGAAAAGTTACAAGTGAACCAGATATTACAGTGAAACGATACATATTAAAATATGTAGGAATTTCATGGAATTAGTAACCTTTTTGAATCAAAGTTAGGTAAGGATGATAATATTCGCGAGATATGACATGAATTTAGTATATTTTGCCGTTTCTTACGGTCTGTACACAAAAGTTTGTGTCGTTCGAAATAGTAGAACACTTGGAAATTAAGAAATGAATTGTTCACTGAAAGGCAGCGAGTTGTATGAAGATAAATCAAATTAAAGGCCTTTGACGCGATTTTTATAAGTATCCAGTATAGTAGTCATTGAGTATTGGAAAAGTTTGATATGACAAATATTGTATTTTAGCTTATACATACAAGAGAAGCTAACGAAATATGATAGACATTGTCGTTCATGCTTTTTTTTAAACTAGGGAGTTAAACTCAGAAGGCTAGTGAAGAATTACATAAAATATGAATCACTGAGACGGAAAATGTGATCCTACCGTTTTTGACAGCATCAAATTTAGCTGATGCATTCATTAGATTGTTTCCAGACATGACAATCAATTTTTCAATTTCATAGCTTAACTACTCACAAGTAGCATATATTTAATAACAAAACAAATCTGGTTATATACTGAGTGATGTGTAGCAGCAACGAGGAAAATGAGTCATCGATAACCTTCTTATTTTCTAACCTTCCTCGGACGTTTAATGTAGAGAGTACTATATTGTGTAATAAATCTGATTTTTATATACAGAACATTATCAAAATATCCAAACTATTTGCACAAGGAATTATGTACGTTTTTTTTTTAAATAAAAGTCAAACGCAACATACAAGTCAAAGCAAGCTGCAGAGTTAAAGACAACAGATCTGAAATACAGTATGGGAAGATGTTGAAAAAAATTGTATTCTAACTTCTGAAGGTTAGTATTCTTAATTTATTATTCGAAATTTGATATTTTTAGTAACGTTCAGTAATCATAGCTCATAGAATAATAATAGAACTAAGTATAGTGACGCGCTTCCAGATGCTCGATACATAGGATTCCTTTAGCAACACAACGAACATAATAATGTTTAGTTAAGAAAATGGTCAACATGAAAACATATTTCTGTTTAGTGTTAAATTAAGAGATTCAAATCAGTCCAAATATCGCTGTAAATTCGACAGGCTTGAAATCGTCTTAATTATTCATTCATATTTGAATAAAACTTAAGTGTTCTTAAGGTCTGTGGCTTGTAAATATATGTTAGCTACATGCTAGAAATCGATCAGAGAGTTCACATGTAACCTCTCACAGTCAACCACACGACCATGGGTATTTAATTAAACGAATCCGGGAAATTGATAGATTGAACTAGAACTCCAGTAAATGCACATATGCTTCAGAATGTGGATGGAACTCATCACTATACATCAACTTCCTTAACTATGAGAAAGCATTTGACAGAGTGGATAGGAGACGTTTGTTTGACACTAAGAAGTACCTGAAAAGATTTTCACCATCGTATAGAATTCTTACGATGAACTATACTGTAAAATCTTACATGAAGAACAGCTCACAGATCCATTGAAAGTGAAGACCAATGTCAAAAAGGATGGTTACTTTCAACCTTTCTCCTTCGTCTGCTGTTTAACTGGATTGTAAAGACTTCCACACCCGAGGGGAGGCATGGAGTACAGCGGAAAGTTCAGTCAGTCAGTCAGCGGACAGTTCAGATGCAGTTAGACGATTTGGACTTTGTAGATGACCTAGCTCTTTTTTCCCACAGCACCAAATCCAGGTTAAGATGGCAAGAACAGCAGCAGTGCGTTTCAATGTAAAGAAGCGAAATAGCGACACAGTAAACACCAATCAAATCAAACATGACGGATCTCTGGAAGATGTAGAAACGCTTACACATCTGGGCAAAACCACTGGTAAACAAGGGGGATTTTGTGTATATGTAAGGCATAGACTGACGCGTCATAGGTAGCATCCATACAATTAAAGAACATCCGGAAACCAGAACAACTGTCAGCCATCAAGAAAGCTATGTTTTTCAATACAAATGATACTACAGTTCTATTGTATGGAGCAGAAACTTGGAGAACTAACAAAATCATTCCAAAGGTAGAGGTATTTATAAACAACTGTCTATGCAAGATACTCTCGATGTGTTGGCTAGACTCTATCAGCAACAATCTACTGTGGCAAATCATCAATAAGATTCCAAATGGGGAATAAATTCGAACAAGATGCTACAGATGGATAGGACAGGTATTACGGAAATTACCAGACTGTGGCACAAGGGAACCTCGACGAGCTATGTTTTGTAGTGTAGGAGTAGGTTGGAAGAAAGTTAGGGGCGGCCAGACCAAACATGGAAGAAATCCATGAAGTCGCTGACTAGTAGACTGAGTCATGTTGGTAGATGTAGACTACCTGGTTGGGGTCCGCGAGACGAAAGCCACCAATGGTTAGAGACCTTGAACGACATGGCTCAAAATCGTTTGCAATGGTGCAATGGCATCCATTCTTTGAGCTCTCTCAAATCCTAATCTTCTGGATTCGTCAGCACCTCTACCTTTCTCTTTCTAACCTTATCTCACTGAATTATACTTCTTGAATGATATTTTCGAACCGTAGTCTTCTTCATTACGATTAATACCTCTACTATCTTTATCACTATGGGATTTGATGTGACATTTGCGTCTCTGTGCTAATGTGGTCTGGCAACATGAACTTATGTACATATGTACGAAGTTCAACGTTGCAACTGACTGACAAGGGAACCTCTGACTTGGAATTCTTAATGTCAGATGAAACGAGGTAGGCTGAAGAACACAGCGTTGAGATTTGAAGGCAGGTATGAAAACAAATGGAAAGTAGGGCCCAAGATGTAACTGACTGGAAGATTCCGGCAGGCTGCCTATGCTTCCTGAGGAGTAGTCAGTCAGTCGGCTATAACATAGAACTTCGTACGTACGTACATAAGTTCAGGTTGCCATATCACATTAGCGCAGAGACACAACTGTCAGTTTAAATCACATAGTGGTAGATATGGTAGAAGTATTAGCGGTAATAGAGGGGATAATAGGAGGGTAACTGGTTTCAGTAAGTCAGTCTATAATATGTATAAAGAATCAGTATGTCCTTTACGAGAATGACAATCTTCGAATTCTAAGGGTAAGGTCACTTTCCTTGATGGTAATCACAATAGGACTATACTTCCCACCAACAAATCGGAACAGTCGACGATGAAACTGTAACCAGTAGTCATGAATTCAATTGAAACTTTAGTGAGTTTATCTTATAAAAAAACTGGATCTGTGAACTTTATGGTGAAAACCACTGGGAGCTGGTATTTTGTCCAAACCTAATTTTTCATAACGTTTTTGGTGTTTATTTCAGGTTGTGTCCAGATACTGGGTAGCTGAAATCCAGTCTAATGTCAGCTGATTTCAAAGTGTACTCAACTTTCAACCATTAGGTTGCAGATTTAGACACCATCCCAACTAATTTGATTCAAACAACCTTTTTTAAAGAAAAGTAGGGCACCAAGTAAAGTAATAATAATAATAATAATAATAATAATAATAATAAAATACCAAGCCAATAAGTCGCGCAAGAAATTTTATTACTATTAATTACCTTTAGAAACTACTAGCAGCCATAAAAACAGAGGGTAGTCTCTTTCGACTGGGTAAAGGATTGAATGATGTTTATCATTATCATAAACAGAGGGGTTGTTGGACTTAGTGTTTAGAGAACAAAAACCTACCATTTTGTGAAAAAAAACATTCTGAAAGAGATTATCCTGAGAAGAATATCCTGAAAGTCTTATTAATAATAACTCCGTGGTTGAAAGAAAAAATCACAAGACCTAGTTGTATTACAAAGAAGGATTAATTATTAAATGAGCCTTAAATTTTAGAGATGCATGTTTTATACCAAACAAATTATAGTGAAATACTAACAACACTTGTCGTCAACTTTCGATGAATATAACTGAAACAATATGATTTTGCGGTTGAAATCAATAAGTATACAATAGGATTCAGCACGTGTTTATGTATACGTAAGATACATAAATATATCATATCTAAATATCACGTGAACAACTTAGTTTTGTTGATAAATCACGTAAGCAAGCAGACAATCTATGAAAAAAAAAGCAAAATCCTTCTTAATCAATAGATGTACTTCGAATAGAAAACCAAATCATCTTCTGACATTTTATTCAATTGACTGTTAAGAGAAATAATAAAGAGGATAAACTATGTCAAAAAAAGTATTGTTATCTATATATCGATATATAAATATATAAGACGCTTTAAATGAGACCAATAAGAAGAGGATTTCACAGGAATAAAACGGATAAATAAAAAAATAAGGACAATTATGTGTTAAGTAATAAAACTATCAATGAGGAATTAGAATAGATATACTATTTAACTAAGAATTAATAATGACAATCAAATTTCTATCTCACAATCACATTATAACAATGAGAAGAATCTGTAATTTTAATTTAGTAAAGATGCGTGCTGCTTATTATTATCACTATTATTTTGTCAATTTTTTGGCCAGTCGGAAGTTTTAAAAAAAAATTTAGCAATAACACTGATTTATTTCTGAGAAACCGAATATTGGCACAAAAAAACCCATCAGAAGATTTGAAATACTAACTAGGATGATAGATTTTTGAGAAGCAGATGGAAAATGTCATTAAACAATACTAAGAAACACATAATAAAGGATACAAGAGTCAGTCAGTCAGTCAGTTGCAACGTAGGACTTCGTACGTATGTACATAAGTTCATGTTGTCATACCACTACATTAGCACAAAGACGAAGATGTCAAATCAAATCCCATAGTGATATAGATAGTAGA